TATTTTAATGCTTATTAATTTCCATACTAATTTCGGCTTTTTAATTCTATGGGGGTCGCGGGTCACTTAATTTTTATAAAAGGGGGTCGCCACTCGAAAAAGGTTGGGAACCACTGTTTTAGACCAATGTGAATGTGTCTTCAGCGTTAGCCGATTAAAAAATACAGAAATAAATGATTTAGACATATCATGCTTCAATCTGTTTAACTCAATAACCATTTAATGTATTGACTTAAAACTTCTAATTTAAATAAAGGAGAGGATTCCTAACAGGAGAATAGAGAGACTTTTTGAATATATGACAAAATGTTGAAGTTACAAATTTTTTGTTTTTAGATTAAAATATTAACCATGAAATCAACTTTGAAATTCTCTAAAAACAAAACTACTCAAGATAACCTAAAAAAGTCTCTATTACTCTAACAGTAATTATGTTGTGTTTCTACTGTACAAATTTCATTGAAATCTAATAGACAGTATTTGAGATCATAATTTTGAAGTTTTAAAACTGGTAAAAAAACAAAATTGTGAGAAAAAGGGGAAAACGTGTTTGAAAATGAAAAAAAACTGTTAAACACTCTTTATATCTTATCAAAAGCTTATCATATAGTTTAAGCAATGTATACAAGATACTATAATCAAAGTTTCAATCAAATCAAGCAATAATTAGTCTTGGTAATTAGGTTTAATGAGGTGCACCCCCTAAAAATAAATTGTAAATAAGAGTTATCAAAAATATTTTAAAAATTAATAAAAGCTTTTAAATCAAATAATATCCTAGTAAAAGCTTATTAAATAGTTTTAGTATGTACAGAAGTTACTATTATCATTTGGTTTCTGAAATTAAGGAGTAATTATTCTTGTAAATCAGGTTTTATAAATGTACCCCTGAACAAAAAACTTCAAAACAGGTCAAGTAAAATTTACAAAAAAATTGAATTAGCTTACAAAATAGCTACATAGAGGTACAGTATACAACTCTGAAAACATTTGCATATTACTAACATTACAAAAACAAAATAGTTACAGTAGGCCTAATCATTCTCTATTTAGAAAGCCGAAGAAAAATATGATGATCTGCCTTCAGCCTGAACTAGTTTCTGTTGGGCTATGGGTGAAATAACAGCCATCTTTCAGTATTACTAACTGTCATGTAATCCCATGATTGGGGCCATATGCCTAGATGCATGCAGAAAGACTTTCATTTGGGTTGAATCTATCATGCAACTGCTCAATATGGCATTTGTCGTCAGTTGCTAATAAACATTTTGGACAGCTTTGGCAACATGTTCTAAGATGAATGATGAACCTTTGTGAGATAGCGGTGTTGAATTATGTACCATGACACATTTGCCAGAAGCACCAGGAGGTTTTCCCTGTCTGTCAATCCTGGTGTGTGTCCTTTCATCTGTCAAAGGGACATGATTAGAAGGAGCTCCAACTTTCCACCTCAGTTCCCTGTACTGCCAGTCTTACTTGAAACTGCCTTCTTGAAGTAGGTCTGGAGATTTTTTCAGCTGCTGAAATGAGATTGAGACAATATACTGATCTATACATTCTAGCTATCAGAGTGATTTCAAGAATTCAAACAAGTTTGACAAATCCTAATACCTGCGTAAGACTTCCAATCTGTAAGACTTCCAATCTATCCACTCAGTGCATTACGGCGATTAGACTGCAGAAGCACTAAATTTTCTTTGCGATGGTTGGTGGAAGTAGTGTAGCTGCAACCGATGCATGTGCACTGAGATGCAGGTACTGTAGGTGCATCTAGTGCATCTGTGCAGTCCCAAGTGATGTGCATCAACCCTAGCAAGCTTGGCAGCACTAGCTTTGAGACTTCAGGCATTGACTGTAAAAATATTTAAAAATAATAAGGCATATTGTTATTTCTAGATCTATCTATTATTCTATTATAAACTATTGTTTGTATTTATAGACTCATATTTACCTATATAGATCTGGACTAGAATCTAAATTCTACTTCTAGATCTTGATCTAGGTTTTAGATTTAGAATCTCCAATCTAGATCTAAATCTAGTTCTAGATCTAGAATAGATCTAGAACGACTCATTATCGATAAGGAATAATAGTCCAAGTTTATTGATGAAAATACAATTAACTATATTTTAGAAATTAATTTCAGTAAAATAGTAATTAAATCAAATCTTACCGTAAAAAGAAGCCAACAAACAAAAAATATGCACTTATTTGATAAAAAAGAAGCACACAGGTTCGCAGATGTCGAGTAAAGGAAGTCATGCGCTGAGCAAAATAATAGCCCGTATCTCGGCAACGGCTTACATTTCGGTCATATGTCGCCTTGACATGAGCTAATTTTAGTAACTTACAACATGGCTTCGCCTGGTAACCAATGGGAATACAGCTTTTCTTATTTCCATCATGCATTCACCTCGCGATTTCTATTTTAGTATTTAAAACTAGGTCAATGTATTTAGGTTATTTAAATGAGGAATTGCAAGCCGGTCATTCTGATATACGGCTTGCTATGCTAGGTTGTTTATGGAGGCCATTTTTCCGTAAATTTATATTTTTCCAGGCACACACACCTTCATCAAATGCACAAATATGTATGAAAATGTCAATTTACAGTTAAAACGATAACGGCATTAGGTAAATAAGATGTTAATGTATAGAAATAAAAAATAAAAAAAAATCGAAAAAAAAATAAAAATAAAATAAAAAATCAAGCTGAGTACGGTGTTGTAGCCCCTTAAACTCAAAGTTTTAAACGATATTTCTAAAAAAAATATTTTTGGTCGGCACATCTATGTAAATCACAAGATTTCTTTTCATGCAGCAATTAAGCATTATTGTACTAGTCTAGTAGTGTCTACGTTTACAACACGTATTAACAGCTGCATCAGTTTGCCATTCTAAAAATAACCATTACGATGCATTGCAATGTTTAAAAACCTCTACGGGTAGTACCACTTGGCAAGAGGGGTGTTTAGTTTAAGGCAACTGTATAATGTATTTGCTTACGAATAATTGAATTAGAAAATTCTATACATAAAACTTCACACATAATTACTTTATATATACAGTTTGAATCGTGTGACTAATTTAAAAAAAATGACAATGCAGACACAAATACAACTGATGTGGCACCTCTATTTAAATTTACTTATGAGCAACTGTGTAGTGGTGGGGAAATTTTGACAAGGTCATATATATATATTTGTGTAATATATAATTGTGTAATATATATGTATGTTTAGACCAGTTATCTAAAAACGGACGCTATGTTCACTATGAGTGGGTTATCTCACCACCACAATTGTTCAGAGCGACATTAATCTCACACCTAGGAATACACTGGGTTGGATAATTGACCTAAAGTGACCGAACAGTGGAGAATGAAGTCGAAACCCCCCCCCCCCCCCCCCCCACGAACTGACCTGTTAAGTACATGTAGAAAAACACGTAATGATGTACCAAAGTACCATGCCGCCAGAAAATTAGCTTTTTAAATGTAAAACTCTGTAAATATTGTTTTTGCAATTACTAGTAAAAAAAGTGTGTGATCAATACAGTGATCTAACCCATACCTATCACTAACGCAAAGAAGCAGTAGCGAGTGCTTTTCTATTATATCGAAAAGCGTGGTTTTATACCAATTTTTTTTACAAGAATTACAAAACAGATTGTGTTACGTTCATTGTTTTTAGTTGTAGTGTGTGTATTTTTTGTTGTTTTTGTTTAGATTGATACAATTTTTGGTTTGTCGGCCTACATTGTGTGTTTTTTCTTATTTCTTCAGAGTGCTACTTTCAATTTATTTTGCATCATAGCACAGTAATGACATACAGCTAGTAATTTTATATATATATATATATATATATATATATATATATATATATATATATATATACACACACACACACACACATATATACAGAACGTGTTAAAAATTCTGCGCCTAAATGAAAACCTGGATACGCCTCTGCTGAGATGTGACTTTTCTGATTTTTAGCAGAAATCCAATTTTTCAGTTTTACTGCAACTTTCCTACTCTGATTTTATTATCTCAAAATTTTTCACTGTTTTTTGATTTTTGCCATCTTTTTATGAAATTTAAAAAAATAGGAAAATGACCCCCACGAAAACAGCCCTCGAGCACATACTACATATTGCTATTTAAATCATGTTTTTCACTACTTGGTTCAAATGGACAATTGAAACATTGTTAAATTGTATTTCTTTTCTATTGGACGATTGCTCTAGGTCTGCCAGTGCTAGAGTAAAAAGGAGGTAAAAATCGTCAAAGAAAAAAAAACCCCTTACAATCTATAGCTATTCCAAAAGCATAAATAACGATGTTGCTTGGCTATCAAAATGGCAAATTTGGTTCAAATATCAGACCCTTTCTAATTTCAACTAATCTGGTCAATTTCATTTTCCCTCACCTGAACCAAAACTTTAAAATTACAATTAATCTTAATCTAGTCTCTTGACATTAGAAGACTTACAGTTTTAACATGCTAATCTTTAAATGGATAAAAGGAATATATTTAGATTAAAAATGTGGTAGAACTAGACTAGATTAGTACAGTTTAAATAAGCTTGTTTAAAAAAAAAATTGCCACTTTTATTACGTTGGAATTTATCTTTTTAAAAGTTATTTATAAAGTAAACATCAAATTGCAATTCAAGACTTGCAATGTTATTTTAGAGTAACATAAACTTCTTTAATTAAAATACTAACTATATTTAACAATTGATTATTATAGTTACGTTTTGAGACTGCTTTTAATGCGATAAAAAATAGATAAGACATAAGGAGCTATTGTTTCATGGTCTGGTCACATCCATGAAATATTCTTTTTTTTCTTCAATATAAATAAATGCCTTTAGTCTGTTGATCATGTCATAATGTCTTTTCCTTGATTTTAAAAGCTGAATATATTTATTAAATTTGAACTGAATCCTTCAGAGAAAATTGCACATAATTTTTAATATTATTTTTCTTTTTCTAGATTAGCAAAAGCCAACAAATCAGATTTAATAGAAAGATTTAAACAGAGTGTGCAGTATTTTGTTACAGGAACACAGGATGGCTTTTACAAACGCTTTCAACAACCAAGAGGTATGGATTTTTAGTTAGCTTTAACACATTCAATTTATAGATGTATTAATTCCCAATGTGTTATTCTACATTTGTTTATCTTTTTTTTATCTATTTCAGTAAAAATTATGGATTTAAAAAAATAATACAATTTGTTTTACTTCTGGACTGAGTTATAAATTAATGCGCTCATTTGTAATTTTTAAGAAAATGTTTAGTGATATTTAATTAAATAAATGTGTTGTGCAGTTAATCATAGAGATGGAAATGAGGGATGATAGGGGAATCCTATATTCAAGATTTATTATAAAAGTGTAGTGTACCCACTATAATAATTTAAAATAAACATTTATTAATTTTTTCTCTTAGCCAGTCATAGTGCAATATTTAAAGTAATGAAGGTCAATAAACATGTCCATAACACTAATTCACATCAATTACATTTTTTCTAAAGATAATTATTGTCATTCTTTCTATATCCTCATCTTTTAGTTGCGAGCATGAATCTTCTTCCATTTTATATATTGCCTTTATGTCTTGGTAGAAAAATTGACTGCAACCATGTTTAAATCAATGTGTTACTTGTTGGCGTAACAAATGAGCTTCATGGTGTGTAGCAATCGCGAAGATTTCAGACTGTTTCATGCACCTAGTCTCATTCATGACAAAATTCGCATTTAGTAGAGTTTCTTTCAGGCAACTCTACTTGGGAGGAGGGGGCTCAGCCGCCCCCCCCCCCCCCCAACAATTCTACCGTCCCATTCAACGAAATATATACTTTTTCCAGTGTCTACCCCTCCCTGAAAATTCTACCCCCGCCCCCAAAAAATTCAAGTACCCCCACCACTCGCCGGGGAGGAAAAAGTCTGAAAGAAGCACTGGTGTCGGTCTTAGCTACTACCCGAAGAATTGGCATTTCATTTGAGTTGGGGGGGGGGGGGGGCGGGGGAATGGGGCTTCGCCCCTACCCGAATAATTGCATGAAAGAAACTCTGCTTGCAAATCACTTTAACGATTAGACAACATTGGATTTTTAATTCAATGTTTACTCGAGAATCAATGACGTCATATTATTGTGTGCACTCTCCAATCTAGATACTATTTTCTACTATATGCTAAATGTGACGTCATATTTCGTTTCCGTTTTACTATGAAAGTTTTTAATTTGCTTGTGTTTTCTCTTTAGCGTTCTTGTCAGATACATAGATAGATAGATAGATAGATAGATAGATAGATAGATAGATAGATAGATAGATAGATAGATAGATAGATAGATAGATAGATAGATAGATAGATAGATAGATAGATAGATAGATAGATAGATAGATAGATAGATAGATAGATAGATAGATAGATAGATAGATAGATAGATAGATAGATAGATAGATAGATAGATAGATAGATAGATAGATAGATAGATAGATAGATAGATAGATAGATAGATAGATAGATAGATAGATAGATAGATAGATAGATAGATAGATAGATAGATAGATAGATAGATAGATAGATAGATAGATAGATAGATAGATAGATAGATAGATAGATAGATAGATAGATAGATAGATAGATAGATAGATAGATAGATAGATAGATAGATAGATAGATAGATAGATAGATAGATAGATAGATAGATAGATAGATAGATAGATAGATAGATAGATAGATAGATAGATAGATAGATAGATAGATAGATAGATAGATAGATAGATAGATAGATAGATAGATAGATAGATAGATAGATAGATAGATAGATAGATAGATAGATAGATAGATAGATAGATAGATAGATAGATAGATAGATAGATAGATAGATAGATAGATAGATAGATAGATAGATAGATAGATAGATAGATAGATAGATAGATAGATAGATAGATAGATAGATAGATAGATAGATAGATAGATAGATAGATAGATAGATAGATAGATAGATAGATAGATAGATAGATAGATAGATAGATAGATAGATAGATAGATAGATAGATAGATAGATAGATAGATAGATAGATAGATAGACATACAGCGAAACTATATTTAATAATTATGCAAGGGGAGGTAATTTAAAAATAAATTCAACTTACCGAATAAAAAAAAATGTGAATGCAAATTCTGCGGACGTCCAAGAGGACATTATTGTTGGAATAATATAATTAGCATGGATTGATAAAGTGCAATATGGTAGGTAAAACAAGGATATTTTAAATACTGCTGTCATTTATTTTATACACCAAACATACTGTTTATTAATTACTAGGCATGCTGCCCAGCTTCGCTTAGGCTTTCGAAAACATTGAGAATTTGAATGCTTAATTAATTCGCCCGAGGGTCGGTCTACGACCTCAGGAGTTATGAAGAGGTTCCTCCGTGGACATGTTTTTTCGATGTATAGCTCATATAAGGCGCCGGTCAGTCGAGGTCAGTTTTGACCCCATCATCGTAGACTTTTCGGCCAACCGGCCCCCGTGTTCTGTCGCCTCAAGGCAAGATCCTGCCAAATTTGAAGCGCCTGCGGCGCCGGGAAGTGCCCTGTCGGGCACCCGACAACTTTGCTTTATATATTATAGAGATTAGCAAATTGCATTGATAAACAAAGATTTCAATAAAGTCAGGCCTGAAATACTTTAGTATAGAAATGTATTATTTGAATAGATGAATCTAGAATATCTAGATCACGGGTTCCCAACCTGGGGGTCGCGACCCCCCTGGGGGTCGCGAACGGCTTTCTAGGGGGTCGCCAACTGATATACTAAATCTTAGTAATGAGAAACAAAACTGAAATATTTAGAAGAAATAAATATATTTACTGGAAATGGAATAGAGAAGAAGCAATTAGTACTGTACAAAGTTGTTCTCAGTCACGAGTTTATGAAATCTTCAAAACTAAAACGGCATTTGAGACGAATCATTCGGAACACACCAAAAAAGATATAGTTCTTTCGTCAGCATAAAGCTAGTTGCAAACGTCAGAGACTTGAACTAACAGGAAGTTTTCACAAAGGAAACACAACATTAGTGCAAGCATTAAATGAAGTCACGATAGAAAATGCCAAGCAAAAAACACAACAATAGGAGAAAATCTCATCAAACGCTGCATGTTGAAGATTTCGAAGTTAATTCTTGGGGTTTCCAGCGCAGTAAAGATGCAACAAATATCTCTGTCTAATAATACTATTCAGCGGCTCGCAGCAGACATGCCAGTAGATGTTAAATAGCACATTTTTATTGAAATCAAGCTTTCACCATTGTTTGATTTTCATGTTGATAAAGCAACAGACGTGAGTTCGTGTTCGCAGTTGCTTGTATTTGTCTATATTCATTCAGATGATAGCAAAGAAGAGTTGCTATTTTGTGAAGATAGCATGGAGAAAATAAGTACGTTTTTTGCAACTGGAAGATCAATGTGGGTTAAAACGGCTGTAAGGGTTTGTACGGATGGTGCGCTATCTATATTTAGGTCAAAATCGGGCTTTCAGAAAACAGTAAAGATTTAGCTCCCTAACCACTGCCCTCGCCATTAAGACTCAATTGCTAGTAAAAGTCATAAATTATATTAAATCTGGAGCCTACAAAGAACTGAGCAAAGACATTAATATAGATCACGAGGTTCTGCTTTTCTACACTTCAGTACGCTGGCTGTCAAACAAAATGTTGTGAATCTCGTTTTTTGAAATGAAATCTGAAATCAAATTGTTCTTGGAAGTGCAAGAGAAACAAGACCTTTTTGTATACTTAAAACTACATAGAGTGGTTGGAGAGAGTATTATACCTAGCAGATGTATTCGAACATCAACATAAGCTTAACATGAAGCTTCAGGGAAAATGAACGAATATTATCACTTCCCATGATAATCTCGGGGGATTTTTATCAATGCTGAAAAATCGGCGAAGAAAATAAATCTTGTAAAATATCGCCATGTTTGAAAAGCTCTGCAGTGTGGTAGATGAATCTGAATGTGAGATAATTAAAAATTTAAAAGAAGCGATTTCTGGGCATCATGAATCTCTTGATAACGAAATTCAGCGCTATTTCTCTGAGGTGAAAGAAGGAGAATCTGCATTGACGCATTACCCAGTCTCTTCTTCCCTTAATGTTGACAGCTTTCCCGGTGAATTATTTGATTTTCGGAATGATTCCACGTAAGATAAAAAACTGTACACACAATTTTGGCGTAGCATTCACCATTCACACCCAGACGTAAAATTGATTTTCGAGAATAGATTTTCAACACTATTGTCCGTTTAAAAAAAAATAAAGAAATAAATTAAATGTTGATAATTACATAGGTTGGCGTTAACAAAAACCGCAAATGTTTAGGAAATAGCATGCAATGTTACTCATGTTATTAAAAAAGTTATCAAGAGTAGTTCATATTGAAAACCTACTAGAAAAATGTTATTTTAGTGCTTATTAATTTCCATACTAGTTTCGGCTTTTTAATTCTATAGGGGTCGCGGGTCACTTACTTTTTATAAAAGGGGGTCGCCACTCGAAAAAGGTTGGGAACCACTGATCTAGATCTAGAATCCAAATAAATAAAATAAATTTTATATGAGTTTAGGCCGGAAAAATTGTATTGTATACATTTTATAGTGTACGTAGATCTAGATCTAAATCAAATTTGAATGAAATAGTTCATTTCTTTTTATCCTAAACACGGCAGATGACGTCATTAGTTAATGTATAAGCAATAGTGACGTCACAGTTTTATGCGTTCTTTTTCACATATATTAATGCTTTTCCGGTTGCATAAATAATACTGTTTCTCTACATTCGAATACGCCTTTATTTTTTATTTTTCTTCTTTAAATAAAATTGTGGTTATACATTTAAAACATCTAACATGTTATTTTCAACAAAAGTCCGTATAAAGTTCTCCATATATCGCTGCCGTTTCTGACGTGATGTCCGGCGAAAATATTTTGCGGACAGACAGAGAGAGAGAGAGAGAGAGAGAGAGAGGTGCGAACGTGGGGTTTTATATATTAGGATTATTTTTAAATAATAACGGTTAAGAAGCCACTCCGAAATGACCCTTATGTTTACTTTTATCTATCTGTTTGTGGACAAGCTAAGCTGGGGTTTTTATAGTGGTTCACTAAATTAAATCAGGCGCGTCTGCTGGTGCCCAGGCAGGGTCCAATTTTGTATCGTGGGCTATCCTGTGAGTGCTATGGGTTAACTTTGCGTTGTGTTTGTGTTTTCGTGTTGTGTTTGCGTTGTGTTTGTTTTCTTTTGTTTGCATTGTGGTTGTGTTTTCTTTTGTATTTGCATTGTGTTTGTGTTTTCTTTTGTGTTTTTGTTTAGTTTTGTTCTGTTCCATAGTTGGTACATTTAAAAGATTCCCTGTTGTTGAGCACGGGTATGTAGCTAGTATATTCATGCCATGAGACTGCTTTATCGTGATAAAGCTCCAAATAGCACATTTGAGTTTTTCTTGAAAAAAATGACTTGTTTTATGGGCTGGTCACATCCCATACTTAGCTGGTGCACACAATGGTCTGTGTATCATTACTGTATTCAAATATCAAAACCATTATAAAATAAAATGAATATTTACTTTAAATCAGTGTGACATAAGCTGTTGTCTTTCATTTTATTTACTCAATAAAGTGTGTTTCATTTTGGTTTTTATCCAGCATCCTCAGAAAGGATTGCTCGCAAAGATGTTATAACAAATGGTATGAAAATCTTCACATCTTTATTGTCAATAACGGAATTTTACCATTTGTTGACAACATAATGTTGAAAGCGTAGTTGTTCTAAAAGATCAAGCTTTAAGAGGGATAATTTTTAAGTATTCCTCACAACAAAGCAGCCCACAAATTAACAAGTCCATCATTTTACCAATTTGACCCATAGGATCTTTATCTACTGACGGTACTTATAAGTACCACTTTAATTAAGTGCCTGTATTATTTTTAATTTTATACGAATTTTAAAAATTATTGAAGTAATTAATAGTATTATCTCCCCTGAGTCGCTGGTAGTCAGAGGTATCAATGTTTTTTGAAAATTACTGGTGTGGCACCATTTTCAATGTCTTGCTATATCGGTAGTTCTCAATTTTTCTGTACATTTCCCACACACGTTCTTGATTTCCTTTTGCTTTACCTTATTTTTTAAGTTTTCAACCCCAAATAATTTTTATTGGCAGCTTCAATAGTCAGGCAAACGCGTTTAACTTCTAGTTATTCAATTTTAATCAAATTGTCTTTGTATTAGATCGATGTTTACAAGTGGACTTATAAGTACCGTCAGGGCACAAGGTCATTTTTTTAGGATTTTTAGAAAATGGCAGATTTTTTATGTAGAGTTACATAAATATTGTCTTGATAATTAATTATCGAAATGTACTCAAAAAATGATATTTACACATTTATAAGAAGGTTAGCATATGGTTTACCTAGGAAACATAGTAATTACATTTTAATTTCTAGTAGTAAAAAAATAACAAGAATAAAGGTATCAGTTGCAGGCTTGTTTACAAGGTTTAGTATGCTTCATTTGTATACCAAAGTCTAGTTCTAGTTGTAAGATTTAAGTTGTTAGTTACATTTACTGCAATAAACTGTCTTGCCTACAACAACTAGCATTTACGTAAGGTATACCTGTAGACTAGTAATAGTCCATACTTCTGCATATAGTATAGATCGATAAGGTAAATTTTAATTAGTAAACAGAAAAGAGTAGGCCACTACGGCTATCCTAAACACATTGAGCTCACTTCTATTTATGAACTTTGCACTGTAGTGTAGACTTGTCATAACATTCTAGTAGACTACAATTATACTAGTATTACTAGTAGTTGTGCGCTGAATGACTAGGCATTTGTTTGTTAATGCGGCTCATTGTACTAGCTATTGGAAGCTTCCAGCAAAACCATGTTCATTCCGGCAACCGTTGCCACACTAGAAAGACCACAGACAAGATTGAGGGAGCATGATATGTCAGCAACTTTTGCTGTGTTTGAGGTCTAAGATGTGTTCCGATAGAAAATCCAGTAAAAATCATACTCAAGATATACTTTTGTGCTGTATTTATTTTATGTGTGTAAATTACAAAAAGTGATAGTTTTAATGATTGCCATGTTATTAGTTGATAAATTGTATCGTTTGTTCCTGTTTATGAAAAAAAATGTCCTACATTCCTGATGGTACTTTTAAGTACCAATATAGGCTACGTTTGGGCCATTAAAAATTTTTGAAACGAAATTTCCTTCGACATATGCTTTGAATGTGCCAAAAGCAATATAGTAACACATTGTTTAAGTAAAAATTTCATTCAGAACATAATTCCGCAAATAAAGGGTTAAATTACAACTTCTCCAAAAATCTGTCATTAGTCTGATAAGCAGTAGCTCATTATTACGTAAAATCTCTTCTTTTGATAATGAAATAACATATTCAAAGTTATTGTTTTATTTGTAAATTTAAAGAAGACATTAAACTATTCTTGTGTCAGTTGGTCAACGTTTTTCTCTTTTAAAATAGTCTGTAGTTTTCACAACTTTTTTCCCTGACAGTTTGTTTACCTGCTGTTGTAGGCTATGGGAACACTCCAGTTGTGTCACAAGTAAGTGATTAGTTTTCTGTTTTACTCTCTTGGTTTTGATTTGACCTACATATAATAAGTGAAATAAAAAATATTTTTGATGAAATATTGTATAGGTTTCCTCAGTTTGAATCATTTTTAACACTTGTTGAACCTGAAATTTTCATTGAATAATTTTTTTTTAATCTATACATTTTTTAGGTCCCAGGATGCTTGGAATCCAGAGCTCAGGGTAAGATTTATAACCCTACCCTATACATTATATTTCTCATTAAATTCATAGATTTATAGGAGAAAAAGATTTTTAAAAACTAGTCCTTAGAGATGTGATGAAATTAGAAAGTTGTTGAGAGCTATCAATATTTTTTCTGTTTTGATAAACAGTGTCCTGAATTTAACTGTCTACAATAAATGATTGTTCCTTTTAATAAAGTCAATGAATTTCAAAATATTTGTGTGGCAACATCCCATATTCGCATGAAAACTTCTGTGCTAGCCTTCAACTGAGTTGTTTGTTGCTGTCACTGCAGAATTGATGGTTGGACATTTGAAAATTTACGACAGGACTCACAGCACTAAAAAAAACAACAACAAAGAAATGAGGCAAACTTTCAATGATAGCCGCCATTGAAGAGCTACGATGAACAAAAATTGTAAGAAGCCATCTGGCTTCTACTATCATGGCTGACACCCAGCATATAATTCCTCTGCTCCGTCTTTTTGGCTATAATACCGGCGGCCGATAGAATAGCCCAGTTGTCCCAAGTAGGAAAAGTCACATCCCTGCTTCCCATGGTGATCAAAAATAGGAATGGTCATAAATAAAAAGGCAAAAGAGTCATATGCAATGATTCTACTTTAACCTTTTAAGCAAAAAACCGATTTTTCCATTTCTACTTCAATTTTTGTCTGCTTTTTTTTTTTTAAACACGTTTTTCTTAACTCAGCTTCGCGTTTGTTTGTTTGTTTGTTGTTAAAATTGACATCGAAAATTAGCCCACTTCTGATTGCACTAGAGATCTGAAATTTGGAATGCAGGCTATTTTCGCCTAACAATTTCAGATGCAATCATAAAAACTAGCAATAAGAGACCTAAATTAGCTTAATTAAATTACGCCCCAAGGACCATAAAATCGAGGACATGATTTCTAAACATACCGACAAGACTGGAGGCCAATTGACACAGTTACTTCGGCCCCAATCGATGTGAGCGCGCTGGCCGTGATCGTATAGTGGTTAGTACTTCGCGTTGTGGCCGCGACAACCCAGGTTCGAATCCTGGTCACGGCATGTAGGCTTAATTAAATTACGCCCTTTCTCTGTTTAGAGCGTATCGGTCGCTCAAGATTTTTAGTCTGTGTATTTATAAACACTTAGTCAAGTCATACTTAATCAAGTCATTAGATAAAGTAGAAAATAAACTATATAAAAAACTTTTTTAAAAACCACGTTTTTCATGTGTAGCAACGGACTAAAAAGGAGAAAATAAAATACTTAAAAAAAACTTTTTAAAAAAACACGTTTTTCTTGTGGACTAAAAAGTAGAAAATATATTTTTAAAAAAAAAAAAAAAACCGTGGGTCGGGCAGATGGGTCGGGAAATTTGATGGTGAACGTACCCACTTTTTTTGTCAGTCATCACAAAAACCTGCACAGCTCGAGGAAGCACAAAAGAAAAAATTATTTTCTACTTTTTAGTCCACAAGAAAAACGTGTTTTTTTAAAAAGTTTTTTTTAAAGTATTTTATTTCAATTTGTGCCGATTTTTTTTTTTTTTTTTATGTTTTAAAATTAGGAAAAAAAAAATGGAAATGACCTACAGAAATGGCAGACATGTGGTTTCCACATATTCGTATTTAAATCTAGAATGACAGTACATAGGTCAAACGAACACTTGAATATGCAGATTTCTTTTCAATGGGATGATTGTGTTAAATTAAGATTAAATGTAGGTCAAGATTCAGAATTTCTGCAGGGGAGATAAAAATAGTCACAAAAAACAAGACGTCTATAATGGTGGACCCCTAACAATTTACAAATAAGTGACAATGTGGCTTGGCTATCAAAATGGTTAAATTTGGTTGAAATATCAGACCCTTTCTAATTTCAGCTTATCTGGTCTATTACAATTTCCATCACATGAACTATAACTTTCAAATTACAATTAATCTATACTTTACTATTGAAGACTAACATTTTTATCATGCCAATCTTTAAATAATATCAGCATAATTTAAAAATTGAAAAAGAGTACTACGTACTACTGACCTAGATTTTAGTTTAAATTAGCTTAATATCAAAATAAAAATTTATTGCCACTTTTGTTCCATTGTAAAAAATAATAATTTTGAAAGTGGTTTATAAGATGAACATTAAATTGCAATTAGACAAGACTTTCAGTGTTATTTTAGAGTAACATAAACTTCTTTCATTTTAAATATTAGCTATATTAAAACAATTAACAGTAATGATGTGAGACTGCTTTAACTTATCCGAAGGAAATATCCTAATTTTTTCCTGGTCTGTTCACATCCCTGGGGAGGTATGATTGCATTTCCTTTGACATTTCGAGTTTTAACTATTTACTAGAATACCCGTCATCCGTTGGATAACTGTGGGTTTCGGGGGTCATCCATCAAAAAACATCACGTCTGTCACTCAGAGGCATAGCGACCCTTCCCGGCGCCCGGGGACAAACTTTTCGATTTGAACCCCCCCTCCCCCCCCCCCCCCCCACTGCAAGATTTCGATTTGCAACCCCCCCCCCTCAAACTTTTGATGTGCACCCCCCCACTCAAACTTTCGATTTGCACCCCCCTCAACCTTTCAATTTATTTTTCCAAACCATTTTGGCGTCCCAACATATGTCCCCCCCCCCTTCCCCCCTCCACCTCCCCCCGCCTCCCCTTCCCCTTCCCCCCCCTCCACCTCCCCCCCCGCCTCCCCTTCCACCCACCCCCCCTCCTCGCTACGCTACTGCAGTGTCACTTATCGTCACAAAAAACAGACGCCACATTCAAAAATATGTTTCTTATCTTTTAAAAACACCGATTTCGGACTATCCCTTCATATACTGACGTCACATGTGACCTACTCAACTCTACTTCACCTGCCCAGTGTCCCGCCAAGTCTCAGACAACATGTTTTTATCGTTTAAAAAACGATTCCAGCCGAGCATGTCTCTGACCACACTATCCTTTCATATGCTTAGGACAAAGAAACAGATGAACTCTACTTCACCTGCCCTGTATCCTGCCAAGTTCAGATAGGCAACTTTATCATTCACATCTAAAAAAAAAAAAAAATTGAAAAAAAATACCATTGACATATTGGTCTAGAACCTGTGCCACCCGCATGAGAGCGGACTACGCAACCAACTTAGCTATTTACTCGTGACGTCACAAATGAATTTTTATACTATACTTTTGAGTCTCCGCGCATAGATCTAGATCTAAGTCTAGTAGTAGAATCTAGTAACTTTCAAATTAAATTTTATCTTAAATTAGCCAAACAAAGATTTATATAAAATAATTAAGGCCTGAAATAGATTCTAGATGTATTAAGGCCTGAAATAGATTCTAGATGTAGAATTTACATTAAGTCTAGATCTAGAATTTACATTGAGTCTAGTGACCTAGATCTAGGCTAGATCTAGATCTAGGCTAGATTCATAACTTTCCTTCGACAGCTGATCTTTAGATCTAGAGAAATTTATTGTAAAACTAAATGAAAAAAGACAGTTTAAAATTGATATAAGTGTTGGAACGTAATAAATACAGCAAACGGACGTATTGTTAAAGTTATGACCGACAGAAAATTAGATTTAGAACGCGTTAAACTTTTGAATGGGAACACAATTTTCTTCGATAGACGCCGCCATTTTATTGTACTAAAGAGTAAACAAAAACCTGTGACGTCACGGTCCCGCCGAGTGTAGTGGTCGTTTTAATCTTTTTAAAAAAAATGGGTTACTCTGCGTATGAATAAATCAATAAATTAATTAACGTCTTTAAATAAATGTGTGATTAACAGTCTGTCTTAAAACAAAAATTTTTCTCTACCTACATACTATTTTACAGCTCTCCACGATGAGTGCAACCATGCGAGATAGTCAATCAGCCAAACAAACAAACAAACAAAAAAATAAATATTCAAACATGTAAACAAACTTGACTTTTAGTAGTATATAGATATGTAATGAATATAATTTTTTATTCTAATTGCAGGAAATGCTATGGGTGATTCTCAACTTAAGGTATGTTAATAGTATTAAATTTAAAACATTTTCTATAGTTAGGTAATATAGTAAGTATCTTTTGGTTCTCAGAAAAAAGCATCGTTAGTCTCCAACATGTCAACAGTGTGGCGCCAATTTGCAATATCATATTATATCAGTAAACATTATTTGTTTGATGTAAATAATCTTTCCTAATAAATTAATCAATTTCAATGAAGAAAATAGCTTTGAAATATGAGCAATTTGGCATACAAGAAATATTACAAAACAAGTTCAGCTGGTATCTGTACATATTTCTTTAACCCTTTGAGCCCTGGCCTCCTTGACCTAATTTCTCCCATTTCCTGAGCTCCCAGGGCCAAACCAATTTTCACTTATACGCTTCTAACTTTGCCTATAACTTTTGAACTGTTTGAGATAATCAAACCACATTTGATATCCAGACTCAGGATAAAACAACAATGCAGCAAGATTCTGAAATTCTTTTTTTTTACAATGTATGAACAGAACAATGTATATAAAACAAACTCATAATTATTATCAACACGCCAAGGAGACTGAAGTTTTACAGCACCACGTGTATCAGAACGTACTTAAACAGTTTCAATATGTTATGTCAAAGCTATGGTTTTTATTGGGGGGGGGGGGGGGGGTCTCAAGTTACTGATTAACTCTTTTAAAAATGTAAGCTGACATTAATAAGCAGTATTTAAATGTAGCATAGAGACTAGTTGTATATCACTAGAAGCCTACTAATGTCATTAGAGTAATTTTTAAATAATTATTTTTATTTTTGACTTAGTAAAGTAGCGTCCGCGCATGAGTTCCTCTTTTTGGCTGCAAATTCCTCTTTTTAGGCATGACTGTTCCTACTTTTGGCTGACAGGGGTAGGCATGTCTGTAATAGTATTTCAACATATTCCTCAGCAAAGCCTTGGATTACCTCAAGTAACAAATGAAATTCTTCGTGTTGCAGTGGATAGACATCAAAAAGGTTTAATGCATCCTCATGTATACCAAGTTTTAACTCAGGTAAGTTAATAGCTTATTAACATAATTTAAAACTTACTAGTATGATTTTTTTATTATTTTTTAATTAAATTAGATAGCTGACTTGATTTATTTGCAGTTTTAAAAGTAATTCGATTGTAAATGTAAATAGCTTAAATTTAATATATTCAATCATTCAGAGTATTTTAGGTAAAACCCTCATTTCAATTTAGTTCACCTGTATTTCGTGTTTTTTAATTATGATGTCCACAAAAAACGTCCACTTGTGATTTCTGTGGATACTCTACCTTCTCCCACTGTAATAGTGTCGAAAATCAACAATCCCTTACTGCACATTTCACAAGAATTCATAGTTCCTCTTTCAAAATGTGATGCTAGAATAAGGCTAACAAGAAAAAACCAACTTCTAAAATTTTCTCCAAAATGTACATTTTCAATAACCTTGAATATAACCTTTGTCACTCATCAATTTCAACTAGTTATTATCCATACATATTGTTTTTACCTCTCATTTTCCCCAGCAAAATTAATCGCATTTTTTAAATATTTGTAACTGTCTTTTAAAAAATTATGTAACATTAATATAACACTTAAATTTTATTAATAAATAGGACACTTGATAGACCATCTAATTCGAGAATACTATGAATTTATCTAGATCTACAAATAAGCTTGCTTTAAGCCATTTTTATCGCTGTTGAAGTAGAAGTAAATCTATTAATTTGTTAAATACAGAAAAAAGTACAAAAACACAATGAATAAGTAAACTTTTTACTCAACAATTTCAGGCCGTAAAATTTTTATAGAAATCTTTGTCTCTTACCAATAGAAAATGTTCAATTTGCTTCTAATTTATTTTAAAATGTTTCGCTTAATTTTACAATTTGGTTAAAAGTATCCTCTCTTCAAAATTTTTATAGAGCTTGTTTGAATAAAACAATATTTCACCAAAAGTTATGAGACTACTTGGTGGAGAAGATAGCGCTTTTAGGCTCTAGCTAAACTGTCAAGTGTGATAGGTTCAAAACCCACCCATTCATTGTAAAAAAAAAATTTTTTATAATTATCCAACATAAAAATTGCACAGTAGGAAATCTCAACACATGCAAATGGTTCTTAAATTCTATTAATTTGTCATTCACAAGGTTTGAGCTTGGAAAATATAGAAAAAAATAAGGTGGGAGTGATCTCCCCTGGATATTCTTGTATAACACTATGGGGGATGGCAACATATTTAAATTATTTAAATTTTTTTAAATAGAATCTTTTAGAAAAAAGATTTGTGCACCAATTGAACAGTGAGAAATTTTTGTTTTATAGTGCAGATTATTACTTAATAAATTCATATGTGTTTTGTGAGAAATCGGAAATAGTTTAATTTACCACTTCCAATCAACGAAAATTACTAAAATTTTGACAGAAAGCAGACAATTAGATCTTTTACTTTCAGATAGATTACAAAATTTTACATGTGTGAAATTTCATTTATCTATCTGAAACGGTATTCAAGTTATAGGCTTTTGAAAAACCAAAATAAGATTTAAGTTCCACTTAGGGTTAACAGAAATCACTGAAAAGTTGATTTAGAACTACAAATTTAATATAATACTTTTATATGAAATTTAATTAACCTAGCTGTAACGGCACTCAATTAATCGTGTTCACAGACACACACACACACACACAGGGACAAAATTGCAAAATTGTTTTCCAGACTCACAAAACTGGATTTAGATGTTATTTGTATGATTACAATACTTCCTCTAAACTTAGTATACGAGAAAGTAAAAACAGATGTTTTTAAAAGCAAAAGCTTGTAAGCTGAGGTATTTTTAGATTTGTAAAATTAGGTATCCAAATTGAATTTTTTATAATGAAATAAAATCTAATAATTCCCCCTGATAGAGTTGGCTTTCATCAGAACAAAAAAAAACCAAGTTTATAGATATATATCAATTTTTTAAGGAAGATACATTTTTTTTAACAGAATAGGGTCTATTTGTGACCTCTTCTAACTGCTAAGATAATTAATAAATAAATATTAAGATAATTAATAAATAACTTTCAAATTTCTTGCACACACAGCCAGTTAAACAAATAACATCTGTATTTTAAAAAAATAACATGTTGGCTGACATCTCTTCACACACGCTGGCTTTTTTTGATGATGTGTGACAGTGAGGAAGGGGAAGATAAAAATTGTCAAACTAGCTTGTCATTTATGAATGACCCCTAAACCCAGATTAATATCATGGAGAAATAGGTGGTCTAGTGTAAATGAAAAATATTTTTTGCTTCTAGCATCTTAGAAAGTTTCCAAGGGAAAAGTCTATTACATGCAAATTAATTAAAATTTTTGGGCAACAAACCATACCACATCAGAAAAATCTCAGGTGTCATGGAACAGGCATTTACACAAAACTTATTTTTTTTTAAGTCAAGGGGATGTGCGAGTTTTTTTCTTCTATTTTTTGCAATTTAAGATCTAAAGCTTTTGAATACTTTTATCATGTGTGGCACATGAAAGTTAGTATTAAACAGCAAAAAAAAGGGTTAAAAACAATTTTGGTTGTCATGGAAACCCAAAAAAAAACCTCCGCCATTTTGAATTTTTCTGTACTTTTAAAAATGCTATGGCTTTTTTCTTTATGCACCTATTTGCAATTAAAATTAAACTGCTTATATTTCAGTATATAGGCCTATTCAAACTTTTGTCATAACTTTTTGAAATAACTACTAGATCTAGTAAGAATTTTACAAAGTCTAAAAAAAATCGTACCCTTTTTTGTGTTCAAAAGTTACAAAATTTGCATATTAATTACTAAATACTTTTTTTCTATGAAAGCCATTACAATTCCCTCGTGACAAAAGATGTATTTTTCCATGAAGAATAATTACTGAAAATATGGTGGGCATTGTTTAATAAATAAAAAAGTAGTAGGCTTTTTAGTGTTAAAAACCTACAAACTGAGAAAAACAGCCAATAGTAATGAAAAGTAGGTCACGAAAATACCATATCTGTATAAAATGCTAAACTGGTTGTAAGCGTTGGGTGTTTCCGAGATGATGAAACAAGATTATCAAATAAATGAGAAATCCAGCTTTCAAATGATGCCAAATACAATTGGATGACGAATATAAAACTTTTCATAGAGAGCTTGTAAAATTGTGAAAAATTATTTCTTAATGAATAGGGTCATAAAAATGGTAATTTGAACACATAAAAAATTTTCTTAATACAAAAATAGACAAAGTATCCAAATGTGCAGAAAACAAGAAATTTTGTGATATATTTTTACCACACATATCCCCTTAATATGTTTTTAGGCTATTTAAATGATAAAATATTCACCAGATTCATAGTAAAAATTCATAATGGTCCTTGAAATTAAACCTAACACTGCATTTACACTTACATTAGGCTTGTCGGTATCGGCCGAGATCGCGGTAAAAACATGACCCGAAATCTCCCATTACTTTCTGATACCGGGCGCACGAGATTTGGTTTTGCATACTAATAAGTTTTTAATTAATGGTAATTAATTAAGTTTAAAAGGTCATTTCCTAATGTTAAATGAAAAGTAGAATGGTTTTCCAGTTGTTTTGATGGCTTAGCGATCTGATTGCATGCTGTCTCTGCTTTGGTCTTACCGCTGTATAAAGGTTAACTTCAAATGCGTTAAAAACGCGATTTTTGAAAAGTTTCCATTTAGATAATGAAAGTTTCCAAAGCAGATACATCCCATTTCTATAGAAATGATATTTATTTTTGGATATTTTGACTTTGACATTAGTAAATACTCATTTGAAAGTAGTCACCGTAAGTAGGTCACGTTGCCCCCATTGACTCCAATGTTATATTTCTTCATCCCGATCTGCCGGCTTTTGGTTTTGATACACTAACAACAGTATTCTTATGTAATGTACAAACAAATCTCCTACTTGTTGTTTTAAACATATTTTAATATACCTGTCTTTCATTTTTTCAACTCTGGTTCTAGTTTTGCTTGAAGTAAAATTTTGCTGAGTTAGACATAGGTTACCTGTCTGTTGCTAGAATACACTACACTAGCTATGTGCTAACTGTAATTTTAAGTATTCAAGTTCTACTTACCCTTACTTACAGTTATATTTATATGCTGAAAATCAGAATTCATACACAATACACACATAAAAACATTGATCAGATAACTTCAGTTCACTTTTAACAAAATGGCTTAAAGATAGACTCTACTTCACCTGCCCAAAATAATAAGGCAATTATATGCACATTACAGTGTTCAAGTCATTTACTTTAGATTGCTAACTATGTAGTTCTTTCATTCACTGTATTTATATAAAGCATTGCTTTAGAAACTTTTTCATATTTGCGCAGCACAGTTTTATAACAAAATGTCTTAAAGATGGACTCTACTTCACCTGCCCAAAATAATGGGGCAGTTATATGTACATTTCAGTGTTCAAGTCATTTACTTTGCTAACTTTGTAGCTCTTTCATTCACTGTAAAACATTGCTTTAGAAACATTTTCATATTTGCGCAGCACAGTTTTTTTAGGGTTATGGAAGGAAGCCAACACAAAAATATACTTCTGTATTATTTTTATTCATTTCAACAGCATATACAAGTTCTATATATCATTCTAGCTAAACTCTGCAAATATGAACAAAATACAACTGCAAGTAAAATAACTATGCTCAATTTATTCAGGCATACCATGACTTGTCACAATTGGCCAATGCAAAAACAAGGGCATTCCACCCCTCACAAAAAAATTCGTTAAAAAAAAACTATTTGAGCTAGACAGAAAATCTTTTTTGTGTTGTTTTCATATAGTTGAGCTCTACAAGAATATGTAATTTTTATTTTTATATGATGATTAGTGTTTTTTTACCAAAATCCCTACTTACATGTATACTATGCATTTCTACTCTCATGTGTATACTTTAGTGTTCACAGTTATAGGACATGTTATAGAACATTTTTTAAACAAACATGCTATATAGGCCTAGATAATTAAAAGAAAGAGTAATTTAAGTTAAAAAAACCAACGTAGATAGTATTTGCTTTTTTATTATCCTTCAGAAACAGCTTGTATGATTTGAATGAACAGGGCTAAATATTTGTCTGCTGAAGGGTCGATTTCTTCAAATATTTTGTATCTGCTAAGTCCATAACAAATATTATAACTATACTGAGACTCGTCTATAACTTGTTATCTGTCTGTTTTTATAGTCAGTACAAGCATGACCCCACTAGCACCTTCTGGTGGGCCTCTAGATTTATTACTGTATTAGACAGACACTATATATATATGTGGGCCAAGGAAAATAGAGGAATAACTTGCAACAATAAATTTGGTTAAATTTTACTTTTATGATTAAGTATTATTTCTTCATTTACAATCTATACTTATTTCATTAAAACGTGTTTGGGATTTAACTAAAGAAATAATAAGTAAATATTAACAATGTACTTTGCATAGGGCCTAGAGAAGTTGTACATGTGCTCAAAAACTCAAGTTTTAGTTACATTTTGCAGGCTGCTAAGAGGATGGGCTTACTACGCATCGACGCATGAACACTCATTTGAAAATTCAGAACATTATAACGATCGGGAACAAACTTGGCTCAGAACATTAAAATCGGCGTGGTTTTGTGCCCTGCCACTCAGATGTTCCATATACCTAAAACATTTAATATACATTTAAGTAGGTCACGTCTAGTATACATGTAGTAAGTGTAAATGCAGTGTAACAGCTATTTTTTGGATGAGCTGTATATATTTATTATTATTATTGTCACTCTTCTAAAAGTCAAAAAGTGAATCATTTAAAATAAAGTAACAATTCTTTTGAATTGCGATCTCAAATGCAAGAATCATTATATATGTATTATTGAAAATGACTAGCAGAGGTGTCACTTTTCTGTTTTTACCGAACGACTTGTATACTACGTTACTAAGTTTTTGCTACATGTCTCCACAATAAATCACCTCTGGTTGCGCTGGCCGTTACAATGGCAACCTGAGCTGTTACTTTAAAATGTTTCTTTTTCTTCAGTGTACTAGATTTTAAAAAAACAACTGATGTAGATTTTCTACTCCCCTACACCGTCTTAGGTTTTTGGCTACGATATTAGGCCTGTGGCCTTTTTTCTTATTTAGCTTCTCCAGTCACTTTCAGATGAGCAAAGAATGGAATAGCAAAATCCATCATTTATAGTTTGGTTTTTATAAAGAATTATAAATTTTTCAGGGAGAGGTTAAACTTCCAGTTGTTTTAGAGGATGACACAACCCGTGAATTACCATCTTATATTGACCTGTACAGGCCTTTGAGGCAGACCATTTATTCAGTACTGCTTAATCTAAATAAACAAAAAATAGTCTTCGAGATTCAAAATAAGGATAAAAGTGAGTTATTATTTTCTTTCAATTTAAATCAGGGTTGTCCACATTTTGATACTCTACGACCACTTAAAAGTCTGTTTGACAAGGTTGTTCTTTTGTCAGTTATTTTGTGGTCAGTAGTGAGGTGGGGTGGTTGGCATATATTAAAAAAATTTTCTCCAGGTACATTGTTATTACTGGCACTTGATAACCTGTGACCATGGCAATGGGGAACACAGCTTATAACGTTGTGAAATTCAACAACTTGGGAAGGGTGCATGTGTGTTTGAAAAAATTAGGTATGGTATTTCTTTAAAACTTTGACTTTTGTTGGTTAAAATAAGCTTATTTTATGATGGTTGAGGTAAAAACAAGGTAATTAATTACTGTGGTGGTGCTAAAAATCTTCTAAAGTTATATAATAAATATATAGCATCACTATTATTTATTGATGCCTGGTTGGTCAGAACTCATGTATGTTTTGTGCAACAACTCTATTTGTATTTGTGCCGTTTGTCTTTTGAGACTGCAATAGTTAAAAAGATTATGTTGTTTCAACTCTATCTAAAGCTGCCTGTTTTGCATAGCATTGAATTTTGGAGTCACTATTGTCAAATAGTCACTATTGTATGACATACAATAGTGACTGAAAAAAATAATTCTTTTATCAGACTGAATTCTGACTTCAGTTTAGCTCATACTTTCTGTTATGGTTTGTAAGAATTGAGGTTTGGACATAGTAAGGGTAGCAATATTATCTTCTAACAAATATTAATATTTATTTCAGTTAATACTTCTCAACCAGACTTTTCTGCACAAGTAAAAGAGTGGGTTGTTCGCAGAGGGTCTGGTCGTCCTACTTATGAAGTAGTAACAGCAAGACCTGTGGAATGGAAAACCCCCAGTGTACAACGGATGTGGCTGGGTCAGCAGGATGGCGATAAAGATCGTAGACTAAGAGCTTTTCTAACAATTATGATGAGTGACACTAGTCTGATGTTAAATACAAATTATGTTCCTCAACATCTACTTGTTTTGTGTTCGGTTTTAAGGTAAAGTATTTTACATTTGACCTCATAAAAACTACTGTTAAGATTTAGAGTAGTATGATTTATTAAACTCTAAAATTTTAGTTCTTGATTATTTATTATAACTACATTTAAGAAATGAACACTCATGTAGTAGGAAAATGTTAATACTGTTCACAACGATGTGACTTGTCCAATTTTTTCTAGAGGAAATCCTATTTTTCTATATTAGCTGCAATTTTCCTCAACTAATTTTTCTCAGAATGTTTCCCATTTTTAAAATATTTGCCAACTTCTCTGGCATTTTTAAGAATTTAGAAAATTTGAGAAAAACAGAAATGACTCAGAAACGGCCTACATGTAGGCCTACATTCCACACATTCTTATTTGAGTCGAGTATTACGCTTTTGCCTACAGTACAGGTACTGAACAGCTCACATTTACGTTTACTCGTTTACTTATAATATTTACAAGTATAATCTAATACTAGATCTACTAATAGATAATGTGGACAAGCTAGCTTCTGAATGTTCTATTGGGTATTTGCAATTGAATTGTAGATCTAAATTATGCCTTAAATAACACCTATGGAGAAAAATACAAAAAAATCTTGACTAACACTGCTAATTTCTAGTAATCTATCTTGAATCTAATGTAAGTACTACTAGGACTTTAACTAGGTAGGCCTTAAATTAAATTCATATTACATATGAAGCATTCAGCATTTTTTTTCATAATCTTAAAAATAATCAAATCAATGTTATGTTAAACTAAGCTATGGTTTTTATTGGTTTCTTGTTAACTTTTTTTATTTTTAAATGTAAGCTGTCATGAGTAAACAACGTAATCAAACTTATTTCCAGCTTATTTCTCTCTTCCGCCAGTATCTTCAAAATCTCATTACTAACGCGACTTCTACTATTACATGTAAATAAAAGTACTTTACATAGTAGCAGGGCCGCGCCGGACTGCACCACACACTAAAATTCTCGGGTGGGCGCATAGGCCTGTAAAGGGTTAATAATTAAATGATAAACTTATTTTTAAAGCAATTTAAAGAAAGTTGTTTGGGGAAAATTAAAAATGACGTCACAGTCAATCTCAATGTTCCTGTTATGACTATTGCCTAGGCTTACTGATTACAAAACTAAACTAATTTAAACTTCCAGTGGACACACCTGTGTCTTGTTTGTGAAACAAAAAACACTGTACCGACTATTTTCAAAAATTGTATACTGCTATACCTGAAGCATAAATAAAGATGTGGTTTGACTTTGAAAATGGTAAATTTTTGTTGTAATTTATAAATATCCATTCCAAAACATTTATACAATTAAATATCAGACCCTTTCTAATTCCATCTAATCTGGTTGATTAAAACTTTCAAAATTACTATTAGTATAGGTGTAAGCTCTTTACTTTTGAAGACTTATATTTTGATCATGCACATCTATAAGTTTAAAATATATATATAGTTTAAAATTGAAAACAAGAATATGCCTAGATCATTACATTTGAAAAAGGCTTTATGTTAAAATTCCATTTCTATTTTACAATTTTTTTAAAAAGTTTTTTTTTTTTAGGAAAACATTACATTACAATAAGACATGAATTCCGTTGTTATTTTAGAGTTACATAAACTACTTTTTTTTATTTAACATATTAGCTATATTAAACAATGAGTACTATAATGGTGTGAGACTGCTTTAACTGTGATAAAAAATATTCATTTCTTGTCCAAAAAATGTCTTCTTTTTTTTTCATGTTCTGGTCACATCCCTGATTAATGTCCCGTTCTTTTTGACTTTGTGGTATGTCAATGTCTTGGACTGGTCGTAGTCTACTTAGTTCTGTAAAATATTCTTTCTATCTCATTACTTTTTCTTTTTCGCCTTTTATTTCCAGCCCATTTTTCCCAATTAGGGGTCCATTGTTTCTATTGATAAAGTTCTTTGCTAGCTGTTAAGGGTCTTTGTTTCATTTGAGGCTTGCTATTTCTGCCTTCTGGAATAGAGTGTCATGGTAATTGTGTTTGTCTTGCCTGCATGAGTTTTTTAGTTTTTTGTCATTTGCTCTGTGTTCCTTTTCTATTTTTTCTGTTCCTTTAATCTTTGTGATCTAGTGTTTAATAGTTGTTCTTCCAATTTTTTTCCTTTACTAATTTTGTCCTGTGTGTTTTTGCAAGACTGTTTTTTTTTTTCAAGGAACCTATTATTTCCAAAACACTAGTTCTAGGTAAAATAACTATAGGCTATTTACAAGAGCAGGTCTAAATTAGTATATTGCTTTATTATTCTTTTGAAAAAATTGCTATAAACCTTACAGATAGGCTTACTATTTAAAAAAAAAAATTAAATTTTCAAAAAGAACGAACTCAGAAACTTCTTAAAAGCTATCAGATTTTGAACAAAAAGTAATTTGCTGTTTAATATTTTTAAAAAAAATTTTGCTTTTGTAAAAAGGTGGTTTATGAGCCCAGTCTGTCTTTAAAATGCCATTTACAGTTTATTAGAAACTTCACTAATTTGCAATGGAACTTGTAATAAGTTATAACATTTTGAAGAGAAAGTCTAGCATAGTTTAAAGCTAGCTTGTTATCCTCCATATTAACAAAAGGGTACTTAAGCTGGACACTTAACTTGTAATATTTAATATAATGTATATGCAAAATCTTTGTAAAATTATTTTTAAAATACTGGTTTGCTAAAACAGATTTACATTTTTACTTAGATACATGATGCAGTATGGACGTATATTACAAAGACAAGAGCTAGATGCTTTTTTAGCAATGGCAGTCTCTCCACTTTTACATGATGTACAGACAATGCAAGATCTAAAGGTGATTAAGTGTGATGTATGCTTTGGGAGAAAGTAGATGACATTATACTACGAGCAGTCAAGTGAGCAATTCTTTAAATTTTTTACCAACAAAAATTTGAGAAGCGAGGGTTTCATTATTCCTGGAAAAGAAGCACATTCCAAAGAGTTGTAAATGATTATTTACAAGTGTCCGCAATGTTCTGAAAGAGCAGGAAGAATTTTATCTCCTTTACAGATTTGTACTATCTGCACATGAAGAGGGGAAAGTTAGGAAAAATACATAGACCCGTTAAGAAAATTAAGTGAAAGTAAAAAATTAACAATTAACATTTTATTTCACTTCAGTGAAATTAAGGAATGAAGTGTAGCTTTAAGAGCGCAATGAGTAAGTGATTGAAAGAGTAATGTATTAATAGTGTAAAGAGTAATGTATTAATAGTGTAAAGAGTAAGTAAATGAAGTAAAGAAAACTCCACTGCATATCTCCCACACCTCAGCCAGCATCTTCAGTAAGCTCAAGTCAGCTGAGTTCCAAAGCAAAGCAAAGTGGTCGGGTGCCCGATAGGGCACTTCCCGGCGCCGCAGGGGCGTCAAATTTGGCACGATGATGCCTTGGGGCGATAGAACACGAGGGTCGGCAATGGTTGGCCGAAAAGTCCACGGAGAGGGGGTAAAAACTGACCTCGACTGACCGGCGCCTTTTATGGGCTATATTACGAAAAAAAATTTCCTCCGACGACCCCCCCCCCCCCCCCCCCCCCCCCTTGAAATTTTATGAGGTGGTAGGAGAACGCCTTGGGGTGTCACAAAAAACTCTGCATATCTGGGAAAACTTCATAAAGGGGTCAAAACTGACCAGTTGTATTTCCCTATATAATCTTTGTATTTTATGGGAAAAACAGGGTCATTTCAAAACGGATTTTAGGGCGCTTACCCTCTATACATCTGGCTAATTTTTGGCATGCTTATAGGTAAATGGCTTGGCCATAGGGCAGATCTGTCGGTTTCACTCAAAGCCCTCGACGAGGGCTAAAAAGTGACCACATTGAAATTCTCTTTATGTGAGTTCTATTACGAAAAAAAAATTCCTCCGATGACCCCCCTTGAAATTTTGTGAGGTGGTAGGAGAACGCCTTGGGGTGTCACAAAAAACTCGACATATCTGGGAAAACTTCATAAAGGGGTCAAAACTGGCCAGTTGTATTTCCCTATATAATCTTTGTATTTTATGGGAAAAACAGAGGGTCATTTCAACGCAGACTTTAGGGTACTTAAACTCAGTATATCTGGCTAATTTTTTGCATACTCTTAGGTCAATGGCTTGACCTTTAGGGAAAATGTCGGTTTGACTCAAAGCCCTTGATGAGAGCTAAAACGTGACCGCGAGTGAAATTCTCTTTATATGAGCTCTATTACGAAAAATATTTTCCTCCGACGATCCCCCTTGAAATTTTGTGAGGTGGTAGGAGAACGCCTTGGGGTGTCACAAAAAACTCGGCATATCTGGGAAAACTTCGTAAAGGGGTCAAAACTGACCAGTTGTATTTCCCTATATAATCTTGGTATTTTATGGGGAAAAACGGAATTTTCAACACAATTTTTAGGTTTTTTAACATCTGTACATCATGCTAATGTTTTGCATACACTTCTATAGATGACTAGGCCGTATGGAAAAACTGTTGGTCAGACTCAAAGCCCTCGACCAGGGCTAAAAGATGACGGCGAGTGAAATTCTCCTTATATGAGATTTATATATAAATAAATTGACGAGTGATCCCCTTAATATTATTTGAGGTCGTAGACCAACCCAGAAGGGTAACAAAAAAACTTTATTCCCGTCGGAAAAAGCCATTGTAGTCGTTAAATATGTTCATATATCATATTTTCTTATACAAGCATAGTAACTGTTTGTTTTTAAAAAAAGTAAACAAATACATACCTCATTCGGTCCATTTTCAAGGAAGGTAACCTTTTTAAATAATTATTTTTCAAATAATTGTATACTATTTTAAACAAACAGAAAACGACAAAGTATAGCATTCGTTTTAGAAAATAACTAGTTGTTTATTAAGCTACGTATCATAATTAAATAAACAATTAATTTTAAAAGTCAATGTAATATAAATTATGAGATATACTGTTCATGAAACCTCTGTAGTTCTAATTCCATTTTAGTTATAAATTACGTACTTTCAAATGTTCTCTCTGAAAGCGGATGTTAAACAACATACATCTTCTCTAAAATTAGCATTACTGTTTAAATTTAAGCACTCCACACCTCACCCATCACCAAATAATTAGTATTCAAATTATCAAATGTTTTTGAAAACCTAAGCAAAGCTAGGCAGTATGCCTAGTACATTTTATAAAGTGTTTAGTTCTTTACATTCTCCTTTTTTTTTTTTAATACATTAGTTATTTATAAATACATTCTTGTTATTTAAAATATTTCATATAACAATTTGGGTGGCATTTTGGGCTTGAATGGATTGATAAATCAATAGAAATCTGTTAAAAGTATAGAATAAGATGTTGTGTTACATGACAAAGAGTAGCAATGGTTTGAAGCCTTGGTTGAATTTACATCTCATCTTTAGAAAAGTCTTTTTAAAATAGTTGGATGAATGAGTAGACAAAGCTATAGATGTAATGAAAGTGTCCATATCTAAAATTGACAAGCACCCATTTTATATAGAAATGTGAAAAAGAAAATTTAAATCCTTTTTTTTTTATATTTATAACTTTCATCATACAAAGTTTTCTTATTAACATATGAACTAGTACAGTTGTTTCTACTCAGTAACAGATCTAGATCTATCCAGTAACTTAAAAAAAAAATATTCTTAAGCCCCCATTTTTCTAGAATGTAGAAATGACAGTTATTTGTATTGAATCTTGAACGTCAAAATACTCGTTTTTTCTTAGCTTCCAAATATCATTCCTCGAGGAAGTCAGCTTGCTTCATTGTTTATGTCTGGAATAGAGACAGCAAGTATGGCTAATGATGTTTGTGGTGCTCCTATCCCTTGGACAATGATGTGTCCCTGGCTTTATATGGATGGAAAACTATTTCATTTCAAACTTTTAAAGGCTAATAACAATACTCCACTAATTGATATATGTGATGGCCAGGTAATCTTTTTTTTTTAACTTAAAGAATATTCCATTTATTTGTTTGTCATTATTTTTAGAGTTAGACACCTACGCAGGTTGCATTAAAAAGTCTAGAAATGAAACTTAAAACACTCTTCCCTAAATATCCTTAAATTCCCTTAAATATCTAATGTTAATGGGCTTTTTTTATTTTTAAGATTAATAAAGAAACAAATCCACATCAACTTAGGTTTGACCTAGCAGGACCTTGATCTAATTATTTTTAAACTTTTCTCCTTGCAATACTTTTAAATTCTGCGTATTTGAAAAAATTACACGTCACACACTTCTGCTCATTAAAAAATGGCTGCTTATTTCTTAGGCAGGTAACTTTTTTATTATTTGAATATTTCAGATGGAACAGGTTTTGAGAGTTGAACGTATGAGACAGGCTATCATGGAAAATTTAAGAGTTGATTTTGCTAAACCGCTTTTGCCTGGATTTTACTATCCATATCCTGGTCAGCCTTACACTGGCTCAACATTACCTTATGGACCAACTGCATCAACTAGGGGAAGAGGAGCTGTAATTACTAATTCCAGTAGTCGTCAAACTGGAAGAGGTCGTGGGATTCTAGGTAATTATGGTAATGCAATTTTTTTTGTTTTGAATCATAACTGCTTTTTAAAAATTAATCTCAGCTTTAAAATAGTGCAAACTTGGAACCATGTTGTAAACAAATTTAAATGGTCAAATTTTATCATCAACATTTATATTTAGTTTATTCTATTGTGGGGAGCATTTTAAGGCTTTTCAGCCTAGGTAGTAAAAAGTATGAGCTCTACTAGTAAGACAGCTGTACCTTTTATTTTTTTTTTTGTAAACCTTGTTTTTTTTTTTATTGAATAATTTTCCTTCAATTCATGTTAGCTAAAATATCTAGCTTTGTAAATTAGTATAATTCACCTATAATTAACTTTTGTATGATTATTCCCAAAGGGAGATCACCTATTGAAGCACAAGGTGGGCAACTTGAAATAGCTGGGGTTGTTGTTGGTCAATGGGGACCTAATATGTCAGGGCGCAGAGGACGCGGTGGTCAGATTCCACCACAAGTAATGTCAGTTGGACAAAGGGAAAGGTAATCGCATCAGTCTTCAGAATATCTTAGTAATTTTTAAGATGCTTGTAGAAGTCTGCCTTTTAGGTGTCAGCATTTTTCCCTCCACCTTTTATTCAGATCTCGTCAAATTGTACGAATTACATACTTTTTTAAAATAGCAAATGTATGTATTTACAGTTGGTACAAGGTAAGGTGTCTAATACAGCTTTTATTTCGGGGCATGGAAATTTAAGTACCAATAAGCAGTACCTCAGATTCAAATGTGAAACAATAATTACAATAACGATAGGGGACTGCTTTAACTGCTCTATTGAGTTTTATATCTGAAAATTTTTTATTCGTGCTCCGGTCACATCCCTGATTTTAGGTGGGGGTAGGTTTAGACTTATTTACATCATTTTCGGCAGAGTAGTGACGTGATCATTTTTCAGTTTGGTCAGTTTTAAAATAAAACTATGCATAAATAGACAGCGCTTCATTCTCTTTAACTTTCAGGAACTAAAGTTAATTTGTAAAGTAGATTTAATGTAGACATTGCTACTAAAAGATTTGTACATTGTTGCATGTATTTTTTAAAGCATGTGGGGGGGGGGGGCATAACTATTTCAGAAATATTTCAATACCAACTTTAAATTTTAACCAAAAGAAATTGTGTAGGAAAATAATCATTCAATTTTGTTTTAAATTGAACTTTGACAAAATATGTGTGAAAATTCTTTCAAAACTACAGAAAATTGCTTTTTTTTTTATTGAAAACATTTCTTAGTTTTTTAAATTCATGCTGCAAGTTCAAAATGTTATGATCATTTTTTAGAGGATTGTACAGTGGCAGAGGTTCCTTTCTTCAGCCTAGAGGAGGATTAATTAGAGGGAGACTCACCACTCCTATGTACAGTGGCAGAGGAACTTACCGTCCTGCTGTATGTATATATAAAAGTATTTATATTGGAGAAAAAACATTGATGAATCAAGTATGAAACAAAAGCTGTTTCACTTGTAAACTGCTTATCTAAAAATGTTTGTTAAACATTTTCTCAGAGAAAAAACTTAATTCAAAAGAATTAAATCTTCTTTTGTTTCATACTGTTAGTTCTTAATTTTAATGGTTTTGATTGATTTATATTCTGAATTTATGCAATCAATCTTTTTTATTTCAATATACTTTGGTAGTGTGGTAAAGTTTTTGAGCATTTTGTGTGACAGTAGAAAATTTGAATTACAAAAATTTCAGATTGACCCATAAAACTATGCATTTTTTAAAATTGGAAATAGATTGAGATAATAAATGGTATATGATTAGAGCCAGAGAAAAAATTATTTTATGATACTGACCTTCTGCAGATTCATAATTGACATAGTTGATAAGAAGTATTTAATGATTATTGTTTGACAATGGATAAAAATCATGTTTTTGTTAATTTTGCTTCATGCCAGTCCTAAAAAATAAATTTACAAAGAGCTTGAAAAAATTTAAATGAAATATTTCAACAATCTGTGATAAAAGTTGCATGTGCAGAGAACTTGGAAATAATTTGTGTGTTTAATGCTATATTTCTATTTATTTTCATCTAGCTTAAATATAATCTGCAGTGTCATTTTTGTAAGAGAAACGGTTGTACAGAAACCTGAAACGCCATTTTCACTACAATTAAGATATTAAAAAGATATTTGCTTTAAAACCCAATCAGTAGCTTGTGATTTCTAATTATATTTAACTGCCCCTACTTGGTTCTTAGTCGATTCGCTGCATGAAATCAGCCAAGCATGAAGGGTCAGTTCACCCACCACCATCAAGTGATCACTAACATTTTATCTTCACAATAATTTGAATATAGGTATTTTTTAATTAAGTTGTCTCTCCAATTAAATTTAAAAACAAAATAGATAGTCATGCAATGTCATGGAAGATCTGGATAGTTTGAATGAAATTGCTTAATTAGAAATGAATCAAAATTGAGTTACAAGATTTGCCACATCCACAAGTAGACGTTGGGACTTAAAGCTTGTAAAAATTAAAAGACCTACACAATTTTATCAATATTCAAAAAAATTTCATAAAAAAACACGGAATTAAAACTTTTTTTTTTTTTAATTTGTAACCATAAATGAGACAGATGCATTTCTTTTTAATATATATTAACACTAGATCTAACTAAAATAATTTTAAAAATAGATTACAATGATGAGATGCTGTTAAAAATTGTTCAGCATTTGTTTGCACTCAGTACAAAGCAAAGAATCCGAAATTGTTTAAAATTGTTGTAGTATGATCTAGTGATAAATCAAACCAATAGTGCTGAAAGTTGAAGTTCCTGTTTTATTTTTGTGTGTGTGGGGGGTATGTTTTTGTGTGTGTTAGATATAAGCAGTGATTCGATCTCAATGCTGGCTAGATATTAACTATATATAACGATACCAATATTTACGTAACACTCATATTTAGTATTACTGTGTACTAGATGCTTTTTTTTTCTCATTTTAATAATATCTGATTTATCAAAGTAGCATCCTTGGCATGTTGGTCTTCAGCTTAAATTTTTATATTACATTTGAAGCATTCAGCATTTATGTAAGTGACCCGCGACCCCCATAGAATTCTAAATGAGTACCGAAATTAATAAGAAATAAAACAAGAATTTCTAGTAGACAATATGAATTATTCTTGAAAACTGTTTTTATACGATGAGTGAAATTAGTTGCTATTAACTAGCCTCAATATTCACGGTTGAGTTTTTGTTAACGCCAACCACATGTCATTCTCAACATTTAATTTAATTTTCCTTGTTTTGTTTTTAATTGGAGAAGTGTTAAAAATATATTCTCACAAAGATATGTAGACACAAAAGGAACTAAAACTCCTTTGGGTATGAATGGTGCATACTAAGCTTATGTCAGGTATGATCCTTTCTCTAACCACTCTTTGTCATTAAAGTATATCAAAAGGTATTGTTTCCCTTGCACATCCAAGAACAACTTGATTTATCTTTCAATTAAAAAACATGATTCCCATTTGACAGCTCCTGATTTAATTATATTTACGGCTTTTATTAGCAATGGAATTAGAAGAGTTTTGCTGGCGATGGCATACCTTTGAATCATGCAGTGCATTTCCCTTGGTTAGCTAAATCTTTAACTTTTTTCTGAAAGCCCGATTTTGACCCAAACATAGATGGTGCATCATCTGTACAAACCCCACAGCTGTTTTCCCATTTTAAGCATCTAGTTTCAAAAAAAGGAATTTTATTTTCTCCATATCTTCACATAATAGCAACTCTTCTTCGCTATCACCTGAATATATTTCTCAAAGACAAGCAACTGCTAACACAAACCCGCGTCTGTTGATTCATCTCCTTGAAAAGCAAACAATGGTGAAAGCTTGATTTCATTCAAAATATGTTAACATCTACGGACATGTCTGCTATAAGCCATTAATAGACACAGATGTTTGTTGCATCTTTACTGCACTGCAGCACTGGAATCCCCAAGAATTTAGACTCATGGCTGAGAACAACTTAGGTCGGTCAGTGCGCATTGTTTCTTCAATATTCCATTTCCGGAGATGTTAGTAAAGCTGAATTTCAGATATTCTTCTAAATATTTGTTTTTTTTTCCATTGATAGGGTTTAGTTTAACACTTGGCAAACCCCCCCCACCCCCAATCCCCAGAAAGCCCGTCGTGACCCAGTTTTGGGTACCCATGGCCTAGAACATAGGGCATGAAATCAAAATAAATGATGTTGAGTCAAAGCTATGGTTTTTATGGGGGGGGGGGGGGTCTCAGGTTACTGGTTAACGTTTTTTAAATGTAAGCGGACATTAAGTTTAAGCAGTATTTAATTAATGTAGCCTAGAGATTAGTTATATATAACTAGAAGCCTACCTATGTCATTAGACTAATTTTTAAATTTTTGACTTAGTAAAGTAGCGTCTGTGCATATGTTCCTATTTTTGGCTGACGGGTATGCATGTCTGCTAATAGTATTTTTCTTGGTAAAAAAAATAGCTATTCTTACCAAAAAAGTAAACAAATGACTTAGAACCCGATATTTTGTAAATAATTATTGCTTTAAGGGTCATAACAATGTCATTTATATATTCAACGATGGTTATTCTGTATAGATCAAGTAAAAGTGGGAAATGGATGATTTGGTGGATTTATGAAGAAAAGTACTTTCGCCTATGCCCTTAGTCTAATTTTTGTTGTGTTTGAGATGGCAGAATTTTTCCATATGGGTCGCAGAAGTGTGAAAGCGCAGTGGGCTCTATTAACTCTAGCACGTGTGCCCTCCTAAGTGCCTCCTGATTTGCTGATCTTGCTGCCAAAATAGACAAACTGTTCCACATCATTAACATATCTTCCTTCTATTATTACTGGGGCCTCATGGTTATTGTTAATTCTCATTACATCTGTCTTTCTTTGTTGATCTTGAGACCTATTCGCTATTAGATGGCTCCTAATTTATCAACTTTTTCTTGCATGTCTTGTAGCCAGTGTGAGAATAAGGCTAACTCTAGATAGTTTCCCCCTTAGTGTCCAATGTATAATTTTCCCAGAACTAGCATAGGCTATGGGCGTCACCCAATTGAGAACCACCAAAAAGAGACTCATCTGTAATGACCTGGAACTCTTCAGTTTCCCAGCATGGCTAACTTTCTATGAAAATCCATCGTATAGTTGCTGAATTATTTCCACTTACTTAGCAGGTACACTATAGTGTCTCAACAAATTCCATATTGTTGTTTCTATCCACGCTATCAAAGGCCCTCTCAAAGTTAACAAAGCAGATGTAAAGTGGGGCTTGCCATTCTATCTTCTGTTCTACAATAATTCTTAGAGTGGCTATCTAATCTGTATAAGATCTTTTTTTCCTAAACCCAGCTTGTTCATCTCTAGCTTAAGGTCAATTGCCTCCTCCATTCTGTCAAAAGTGACTCAGATAAGGACTTTACTAGGGATGGACAAGGTTTTACCCCACCAGAAAAGTCACTGTTCTTTGGCAACTTCACAAAGAGCCCTCTTCCAGTTGGTTGGGATCTGTCCTGTGTCCAGACTAAGTTGTAAATTTATGAAGTCTATTTACTTCTTTTCCACCTTGCTTTAATGCCTCTGCTGGGATATTGTCTGGTGCTTCTGGTAGGGGCCACACCAAACGTTGTGCTCTGGTCCGCCAGGTTGGGGACTTTGCAGTGGGCTAACTACTCATCCACATAAAACTAAGTAAAGTTACAGAAACCGAAGCCAAATCTGAAGCTGACATATTGTCCATTAAAACTTTTTGTAGCCTCTAAATTAATTCCAGTTATTATTTACCTCCTTTGAAGAAAAATAGTCATACTATGGTAGCTAATTTTTTAAGGTCACCCAAAATTCTCAAAAATGTCCCCTCGCTACAGAATCATTGTAGCCTATACCATGTTTGCTGGGTTAATTTCTGAGTTTATTGGTTTGGGAAGTTTTCTTTTTCCACTGCCTTACTGAATAGAATTGATCCTCTGCGGCTATTTTCTTCTAAAATAAAACATTCTGAAAATAACCTCAGTAAAAAAAAAAGTTTCATTTCATTATTTAGTACAAGCACAATGCAAATTGAAGATTGTATCTTTTTATGCCTTAAAATAATTACATATAAAAATGTCCCTGTATTCATGCCCTGTAAAGCAATTTTTAATATAGTTCTACTTTACATTCTCTATTTCAGTATTTTAGTAGAGGTAGAGGGTCTCCTGCCAAACGACCAGTAAGAATTGTAGCACGGCCAGGTAGAGGAAGAACAGTAAAGTCTGCATCTACTAAAGGAAGAGGAGTAACTGTTGATGTATCTTCTACGTAAGTTTTAGAGTGGACAAGGCAGATATGCCTACCGTCCCGCCGAAAGCAGAATTGTTCAGCTTTTTTTTTACTAAAAAATCCTGTTCTGTTCCTCCATCCCGTTTTTGTTAAAGTTTGTCCACGGTTTTTTCTTTTTTTCTTTCTTTTTTTTCTTTTTTTTTTTTTTTGAAAAAAATAAATAAGAAAGAAAAGTAGTAAATTGAATTGAAAAAAGGCAGGGAAAATCTCCCTTTAGCACACATTTCAGTTTCCTAGTTTACTTACAATATAATAATAATCTAATACTATATCTACTAATAGTTAATCTAGCTTCTGAACATTCTTTTTAGTATTTGCTATTGAATTGTAGATTTAAATTATGCCTTAAATAACATCACCTAAAAAGTAATTTGTTCCGTCATTCCGAATTTGACTCAGTTTGTCCCGATTAAAAAAAAAAATTAATAAAGAAAGGTAATAAAGTGAATTGAAAAGAAGACGGGGAAAGGCGATTACCTCCCTTTGGCATACGTTTCTGTTTCCTAGTTTATTTACAATATTTACAAGTATCATCTAATACTAGATCTAGCTGGTAGTATAACTACTATCTACTACTACTAGATCTAGAATTGTAACAAGATCTACTAGTAGATACTGAAATAGTGAATACTGATCTATCTTGAAAGTTGTGGCTTAACTAGTAACTACTATTATGAAGAACTTAGTAAGAAGTAACTAGAACTTTTACTAGATTCTAGGTAGATCAAGGGTCTTTGCTCTTAACTTATATATAGTACATATAAAGTTAGTCTTCAGCATTTGTTATTCATATAGTTTATACCATAGCAAGGCATAAATAATCTAATCAATAATGTTATGTCAAAGCTGTGGGGGGTTAACTTTTTAAAAAAAATATAAGCAGACATTAAGAAGTATTTACATGTAGCCTAGAGACTAGTTATATATGACTAGAAGCCTACTTATGTCATTGCAGTAATTTTTAATTGATTATTTTTATTTTTGACTTAGTAAAGTAGCGTCAGTGCGTATGTTCCTCTTTTTGGCTACAAATTCCTCTTTTTAGGCATGACTGTTCCTACTTTTGGCTGACAGGGGTAGGCATGTCTGATAATTTGTGAACTCAACACTACCAATGCTGCGACTGAAAATCTTTTTCTTAAAAACACTATCGGTAGCTCATGAAGGGCGCTCATCCTCTCACACACACACACCCTGTGAAAGCAGCCGTTCGTGACAACAGTTTACAGATGACAATGAAAAAAGACCAAGCAGAACTTATTACCTGCACTTAGTTTCAAATTATTTAAAAACTAAATTATCTGCCCCTAATTAATAGCCATCACTAATTCGACCTGGCTCTACAATTGTAAACATTTAGTTAATCACAGCTCACCAGACTGTTGGGGGTGGTAGCTATATGCTAGCTAGTTGCACAAGTAAATAAACTATGATGTCACTGGCTCCAAAACCTTTCGTGCATAAAAAAAAATCAAATTCAAATGTAGTCGTTTGCATCGCTTTGTTAGCTGTTTATAAAAAACGATAGAACGTGATTATGATTCCAATCATATATACCCTCCTTATTAGCAGTGGTTATTGACTGTTACAGCCATATAATTTTTATTTCAACTTTTTACTTGTTTTTGTTAATCTCATATTGAGTTTGAAAGGTGAGTTTTCAAAAATTTACTTAAAATAGTAAAACATTGAGACTAACTCTGTTTTTAGTGGGATTATCTTCATTATTTATTAAGCTTTCTAACAAGCATATTTATTTTAGGTATATCCGTTTAGCAGACTATGCAAAATGTCTCACATAATAGGTACCCTGATTAGCGGTATCGATACCTCATTTTCATGTTCCTGCGTTTTATAGGAATTATGTCACCTATTTTTATACATTTTTTTTCTTAAGGAATGTTAATAATTAAACTAGTAAATGAAAAGATTCAAAGATAATAAATTAACCTTTTTAAATAGTAAAAATTGTATGAGTTGAGCTAATATGTTGCGGCCTATACAACGTGCTACTAATGATAGAATGATTTAAAACTAAAAATAATGACACTAGGTTCGATTTGAGTAAGACCATATGATTTTTAGTTTAAATTTTTAACAACGAAAATAATCTTTTTCGTAATTCATTATAGTAGAGGCTTAAATCTAAAAATTGAGAAAAACGGTATCGCTAATGTTTTGTCGCTATATCCGTTGGTATATTATTTGATCAATTAAAAAATAAAACATTCAGACTTAATTTGAATTTACTGTGAGTCTGTAAATTTTTAACGTTATTTTCACAAATGTTTTTACTTTCTTCTTCAGACGTTCACAAGCTGTAAAACTCTACTAAGTATTAGCGATATCGATACTACCCTTCTCCGCTTTCGTATTTCATTATATTTGTATTATATTATTAGGCCATTAGGTCTATTTAAAATGTAAAATGTCTTAAACATTATAAGCCAAAGTTGGAAATCATTAATTGAACAGTGGTTGATTAAATTCACCAAGTACAGTGTGCGGGATCCAAAATCTTAATATAAAAAATATTAGTTAAAAACACAACATTTTATGAGTGTGTTCATTCTATTGTAACACTGATAGTCTTCATTTATTTCATACCCCATTAGTTTATCTAGCTAAAGAATAAAACATACCCTTGTAAACAAAGGCCTATATTTATTTGCTTGATACCCACTCACACTTAAATACCGATTGTATGAGGGGGGGGGGGGGGGACGACTTTCTGAGTTAAAGACCTTTGAGTCTGGTGCTAATTGAGTTGCTTTTGTTAAGTTAGTGTGATTGACTTTTCTAAACGTGGTACTGAATTGAATCTGCCCTTAATCGTCCACAAATAAAGTCACTCTTTTTTACACACATTCCCCTCTCCCATCCATAGCTTATCCCCATTGTTGCCAGACATTTTTCCAGACCCCGTATCCCCAAGCTTTTGTTAAATGTTATCACAACTGGACACTGTGGTCTAGTATGTAGTATGCCCGCTAACTAAACTGATCGGTACACGGCCTAGTGACCCGAGGTCATCCCATGACCAAACTGTCCTTGACGTTCAAAACCAGGTGGCAAGATGTTGTATTTAAAACTGGAGGCAAAAGTCTGACAGAAATCCTCGTGTCTATCGTCTGTCGGCGTAGCTGTGTGAAATGCTCGATTCTTGATAACGTTGCTGTTTGTTTCACGCCAGCTATGTTCAGATATCTAACGACACCCAAAGATTATCTCTTAAATGACATGCTTCCAGTAAGTCAAAAACACTCATATATGTTGCACTGTACTGAGCTGTCTTTATGATACCGTTTACTTAGGAATTAGGAATGTTTATTTTATTTTTTTACTCAGCCAGTTTCTATTATTTTTACTATTACTGTGACGTTTAAGTTAAATGATTGAACCTATGCATTGGTATATTTTTATTTAAATAATTCTTAATAGATCACTTTTAAATTAAATAAGTTATTAATATCTTGCTAGAGATACTCTATGCAGTTGTAAATGCATTAAATTAAACAATACTTATTTGAAAATTTTATAATTGTGCGACTATGCAGAGTTATTTCCCTTTCGCCTCTTTTTCTATAATCTCGATTTGACCAATTTTTGTTTTCATTTTCCATAGGCTTAGTTGTCCCCGCAATTTTTACACTAAAACCGTCATATCTAGAGAACCGTTTATCCTATAATAATAAATTTGGTATCATTTTGCAACATTTAGTCCCTTTAATACAACCCAGTCGTTATTTTGTCTTTTTAATTATTTAAAAAATTGTGTGCAACTAGCTACTATATGCCTAGCCCACGAACTGTCATAACGGCTGATGATTGGCCGTAATTCCCCTTTCTGTGGTGTCACGGGCGATCAAATCGACCGTTATTAAAATCGCGATTAAAAATGCGAATGAATAAATATATGTTGGTTATGGGGAAGTAACTATTAAAAAATGAATTTCCTTCCCGTTTCTGGGATTGGGTTGTTTTTTGTTAGTACATGAGCTTTGATTTTTGTTTTAAAACGGGGGTGAATATTTTCTCAGTATTTTTACTTTGAAAACGTCTGTCTAAAGCTGCAGATTGTCGATCTTGATTAGAAAATAACCTTAGAACTTCTTTATATTATTAAATACACTGAGAAAATAAAGAGATGACTAGACATTTATGTTTGTGGTCTCCCTTTCAGTACTAAAATATTTTAATATAAAAAAACTAGATTTAATAATGAACATTCATGCCTTTTTTGGTATTGAGCGCAATGTGAAATAATTCTTACAAAATCACCTTTCAACAGTACTTTATAAAACTATAATAACTATTATAAAACTATTATAAAAGCTAATGACTTCTAGTATCTAAAAATGTAGTTTCTGTGAGGTTTGGATTTTTTTAGGGTGGGTTGAATACAGAAGTTAAGTATTCAAATTTTACTCTTCTTGTAAATGTCAAGGTCACTATCAGCATACACATTTTTGTTTACTCCTTAAGATATACGATTAAATGTGAGTTCATGACTTTGCAACTTCCTAAACGGCTCTGGGACCATTGTTAAAAAAATCAGTTTGACCCCCTACTTCTAGATCTAAAAAAAAAAAAATTGTTTATTTTGTATTGCCCAAAGAAAATGCTAATTGATGTGAAGGACTATTTTATGTATGAAACAGAACTGTGCTGTTTTTACTTAATTTTAGGGACACATTTTGATACCTATGTCTCCATTACACAAACCACTTCTTACTGCTTTTTCAAGGTCGTATGAACGAAAGGCAGACGACATGAGAATACGCGAGCACATTCATATCTAGGCAGTTCTACAAGCGCTGTTTATCTAATTTTAACATGATTTGGGATGTGATGTTTCCAAATTCAGCGGAAATCCAAATTTTCTGTTTCAGCTGAAAATTTCCTCCGTTTAATTCATATTCTGTAAATTCAGTCCTGTTTTTTTTTTTTTTTTTTTCCCATGAGTTTTAAAAATTAGGAAAAACACGGAAATTTTATTAGGATTTGACACTTAGCTGACTACACACTTCAAAGTACCATAGGAAGTGCTACAAATGAAATGAAATTGTGGTTTACATGTATAGGGGGGGGGTCTAGAATAACATATTATGGGGTAGGCCTAGAGATGGGCTTATATTTTGAACTGATTTTGTTATGTGCACAATCCTTAAAAAATTATTTTTTATTTGAAACCTGTTACAAAGAAAATATATCCATTTTACATTATAATAATCACGTCTTAAAAAATAATGAAATGTTAGTTCATTTTATTTTGAAATTCCGTCAAAAGTTTCAGGTTTGGAATACTTAAACTTTGTGTACTTGTCAATTTTACAGAATGAGATCAAAGTTGAGTGGTCAAGATTTTGAAGATTTGGATGAAGAAATAAATGGAGGATACAGTGGCGCATCTGATGAAGATGATGATATTGGAACTGCTACTGTCAGTATCAAAGGTTAACCTCAGATCTTGTCTTGTTTGATATTTAGAATATTGAACATAAATGTAATAGTATTAATTATTGCAATTGAATGGTTGGTTTCAGAATTTTTGTTATTTGATAAAAAAGTTTCTGTAAATTATGTTAAAGATTAAATAACATTAAAGCTTTCCTGTACAAACTTGACTTTTATTTAGATTATGCACAATAATTTCTTTGTATTAAAATTACATTTAGTAGCATGAATGGTTTGTCTAAACATACGAGTCTAAACATATTTTTGTTTTGAATATTGTGAAGTGTTTTTAAATTATTGAAAGTAACATGCATTTTTTATACAACTCCTGACTATACTTTTTTATAATAATGATTTGCCAAAAGGGATATTATAATGAAATGTGACTTTATACAATTCACAAATGTATTGTGTATTTTTTTTTAATTGTGTGGATTTGTTAAATAAATATTAACTTATTAAAAACAATTGAATGTAAGCTCCAATTTAGAAAAAAAAACAATTTAAAAAAAATAATAATGCTACTTTTGGTGTAATTGGATTAGTATTGGAAGAACTTAAGAAATTTTAAGTTTTATTTTGTAAATTTCTTTATAGAAAAATACTAAAATTATTTTAATTCTTGTCCAAACTGTTACAAGAGTAAATCTAGTTATTTTTATATAATCTGTTCAACAGTATTTAATTAATCTAGTTTGTGTAATTATGTAATATAGTTGCTGCTGCAATGTGAAATTATCCACACAAAGGTTTTAAATAAATTATTGTACTTTTACTCCTGTTTGTGTGTATTGTATTTTTGGTTTGATTCACACTACTCTCAGGTGCTTGTAAATTGAACAGATAACCTAAAACTCGGTATTGCTTGTTTTTTACCATATTAATGTATGAACTCTGTAGTTTTTTCTTTTCTCATGAGTAAAACCATCCTTTTTGTAACTGATTTAGAGTAACAGTTAAATTTAGGGGTAATCAAACTATTTTTTTAAATCCTCATTTAAGTTTCTAACAAGCATTAAGAAAAAGTATATTTAACAGAGCTCTTGTTTATTGTAAAACTAATAGTTATTAAGGGCATAGGCGGTGATGAAAACCAAAAGAACCAAAATGCTTATTTCTAAACTAAAAGCTATAACATAGCATATAGTTATAACTCAGTATAAAAATTATAGAATGGCCAAAAATTTCATGGTGATGGCATCCATCTTGGATTTTATTTACCTTTTTAACATCAAAATAACTCAGAGATGGCTTATGCAAATCCAATAAAAACTTGCAGGATTATAGAGATGCATGTTGGTAACAATTGTGATAGATTACATTTTCTAAGTTTAAACTACTTTTGTTTTTATTATTTTTATTCTGAAAATAACTTTTAAAAAAAATTGAAATTTGTGCAAAAAATACACCACTTTAACTATAAACTATAAAAGAAAAATCGTACAAATTTTCAAAAATTTGTTTTATTAGTTTTGTTGGTAGATCTATATGTATACAGAATAACTAGAGAAAATTTTGATCAATTTTAATAATAATTAAGAAAGTTATTTCAATGTTGTAATTGTAAAAAAAAAAAAATCCAAAATGACCACCATGGCTATGGCAGGATATATTGGTCCATTTTTTACATTTTTAGACTTAACTCTTTGAGTTATATCTAAATGATAGATATAATAGCATTAGGTTTATAAATAAGCATTTTGGCTAATCTGGTATTCATCACCAGTCCATGCCATAGAGAAATATTTTTAAAAGTAAATGTTTTGACATTCTGCTTTTTGTATCTTTTTCATGTGTGAAAAAAAAGTTTATAACTTTGATCACTATTCGTTATTTTCATAGACATATTTTTAAAACTTTACAGAGGAAATGTTTTGTACATTTTCATGTTTTGTATAATTATAGATATTGTTAGTTTTGTATAAAAAAATTGCTTATAAATGCATTTGCATGCTAATGATAGATAATTGGTAAAGGCAAAAACCTTTCCCAATAAACTTCCATATCACATGTAATTATTTAAATTTACTTATTTTCATTGTTATGCATTAGAAAATGTTTGTTTCAAATAAAAAATTAAACATGAATGATTAATGACAGAGTTAGGTGTATATTTTAGACTAATATCCCAATTTGTTGTTGCTAAAGAATAATAAAGCTTCTTAATTTTATAAATGTGTGTTGAACATTTTTTTATCTACTTTCACATTCAGAAATATGTAGTCTATTTTCTATAATTTTATAAACTAAACTAATTTATAAATTCATTAAATTGTTTTCAATAAGAAATAATTTTTAACCCAATCAGAATTGTGAGTTCTTTTTTAAATAGTTTATTCTCATTACTACAATAATATACAATTTATTGTAAAAATAGGCAGAAGCCTAAAGCTTTAATAACCCTCTTAATGCTTCTATTTTTTATTTATTTCTGTAATTGTTCCACATAAGTTAAACTTCTTTATGACATTATTATTAGTGGCAGTAAATCAGAAAACTGTTCTTATTTTTTAAAATCTTACTTTGTAATAATTATTTTTCTTCAAATATTTCTTTCAACCTTACATTCTCCCAAAATTAGAAAGCATATATTTTACTGTTAAAAACGGATTTTTTTAATCTGCATGCGTAGTAATTTGTCCTAGCTACTCGTTAAAAAAAGTTTTTGTGTGCATTTCCTGAGGTTTTTTTTTACTTATATTTCAAGTAGATATTAACTTAAAACTATTAAAGATAACATTCTTTTTAAGTATAACATAATGATACACTTCATTTTGTGTTGGTTTTTGTTCCAGAGACAACTTAAAATCTAATGCACGTGCCAACACTTGGGATTTTTTTGCCTGTAACTTTCCAAAGCTATGTTTTAGCCTGTAAAAATCAGAAGCGGACTAGCATAAATAAGTTTTTTCTTTATCTTGTAACCATTAGGACCTAAAAATGAACTGAACTAGTGAAATTACAGTATTGTCAGTTACATCTAGTTATCATGCATTTTTTAAACTAGTGTGGACTTATGATTTTTACCCTGCAAATATCACACATGGACTGATTCTCAATCAAACCTAAATCTACTAGACTGCAGTTCCATTCATAAAAGTAATAAACTCTACCGTAAGTTATTTATAAAATCAAGAGGCTATAAAAAAAAATATTACAGCTATGTTCTGAAAATTTGGGGAAGGTTTTTTAGATATGGGTAAAGATTCAAAGTGTAATCAATTTCTATTTAAAAAGTTAATCTTAATAGGAGTTAACATAAAAGATAGTCATTATGATGCTGATAAATTTTGTAATAATATTAAATTGGACTACGCTCCTTGTCGACAAACAATGGGTGTGAAAAGTATTCTTCAAAGAATTGTATTGACAGATAACGATTATTACAGAAAATAAATGGTTTTGGGTTAGGCAGTCCTGCAATAGGGTATATTCAGCTTCAAATAACTACTTCAGTAGGTGTGATCAAATAGTAGAGTGTTCATCTTCTATCCTATTAGTCTTAAATTTGGATCCTAGTCTTTAGTCAGTACAATGTCCCTTAGTCCACCCTCAAAATTAGGAAAAGCAGAGGCGTCTGGGCTTGGCTTAGTGCTGACCACACTTGTCCTTCATTTGCTGAAGTTAATGAAACACGAACTCACTTCATCTGTAAAATTGGCCATTTGGGTTCAAAAGGGTACTTTTATTTTATCTAACTAATCTACTAATTTATTTTTTATTTATACTGTTTTAGAAAATGCTTTTTGCTTATCTTTCTGAAAATTGTTGTTATTGGACACCCATATACAAACTCATTCACTAGATCCGTTTAAGATATTTTGTATAAAACTGGCACAAAGAAATTAATGTAGTTAGTTGAACTCTGTATTTGTGGGTATATAAAATATGTAACTAGTTTATTGTGGAACAATTCATTCTAACAGCAACAATTCATTCTAACAGTTGTTCTAGGTGTTGAACTGTCCCGTTCTTTCATTTCTTTTGAAAATTATTGTTACATATTTGTCTAATTAGAAATGTGCCGTAAATTCTACAATTAATTACATTAATAATTAAGTTACTCAACATTTTTGACTTAAGATATACCATTCAATTCCGAAAAAACTGGTAGTTATTTAAATACTATATTGCTATAATGCTTTGTCACTTGTGTTTTCATCATCTCTATAAACATTGTCTTTATTTACTCAAGTGTTTTTTTTTTTTTTTGAGTAGTTATTTTACTTTTAAAAGGCTTTTATTACTTTTAGTTTTATTAAGTTCATCTAATCGGAACATTGATTTAAAAGCTACTTGTCCGATTGATCTGAAATCTGGACTGCAGTAGACCTTGGATGACAAAGCCAGAATATCTAATTATTAATCAAATTAGATAGACATTTAGTCTTAAAAATCGAATATAAAAATTACTATATTAAAAAATACAGAGGGAAAATATCAGGATCACTTGATCACAGAGCAGTCGATGGTTCACTCCTTTCGGCATATTTACATATTCAGTGCTGCTCATACTGTGGCCTGTCGCTTGACCTACTTTATTTAGCGCAATTTCCATACTGACAATTGCGATTATTAATTCGTTATTTATGGATGGATGGATGTGTGTCCGCAGCTTTAAGTCGTATCTCCTCCTCAACGAAGCAATATCGAGGACTAGTTCCAAAGCAAATATGTTAAGCAAGTTCCGAGGATGATTGTGGGCCAAAAAAATTCCCGGAATTCCTTCCTGGATTTCCCGGAAAAGCCAAAAAAACTCGAAAAAATGCAGTTTTTGGCCTATATCACGGCAACCAGACCACTTAGCGACTTGAAACATTTACCAATCGATTCCTGCCATAATTTAGAACAATATTGCCGAAGAAAGTTTTCAAAAATATCCTTTCGTTCGGTCACAAAAAATTAATTAAGGAAATTGCGCTTAAATTGTCACTAGACTTTTTATTAACTTGTTTTACCATCGTCATGGTAACTGTCTAACTAGCCTAGGTCTACTACAGTACAGGCATCTCTTGGCTGTCCACTAGCTCACAGAGACGCCCCATGTCTATCTCCTCTAGACCTAGCTATCCGAGTCCGTCTCCGTGTGTGAGTGACTTGTGAGTCTCCCTGAGTGTCCCCCACAGTCGTAACAATATATATATATATATATATATATATATATATATATATATATATATATATATATATATATATATATATATATGTTACGGTCAAAGCCCGAAGTCGGCCAATCCGCGCATTGGCCAATATCGCCTCACATAGGTCGGTCAAAGTCCGAAACTTTGCTTGATTTCGGCCTTTGGCTGGCCAATCCGCAGACTGGCCATGGTGGATCGGCCAAAGTCTGAAATAGCTCTTGATTTCGGCCTTTGGCCGGCCAGTCCGCGGACTGGCCATGGTGGACCGGCCAAAGTCTTAATTAGAAGATCATCTGGCTAGGGACGACCGGCCAAAGTCCGAATTAGAAAATCATGAGCAGATTTTGGGTTTTTTAATGCCGTAAGGATCATGAAATTAAGTCTTTATTGATTATTAATTAAAGTAAATGACAGAAACATTCAAATTTTTTATTGAACTATAGTCTCAATCAATTAATATTATCATTTGTTACAACAAGTTGAACTTTTATGGCATTTAGAATTACATAGCAGCTTGTTATTTTTACACTTGCAGCGATTTGTTGTGCACTTGGTTGTGCAATTGCAGCGAGTGTAGCCTTGGCCCCCCAGTCAATAATTGTGAATATGCGATGGTTCGTAGTGATTTTTCCTCAGTGCCAACTGACGACAATAAGAGCAGTTTTTCGTGAAGAATTGAAAACTCACTTCTAGCATACAGTTGTTTTAGAACACCATGTTCCGTTCCTAATTTGTAGAAACCGCCCTCGACGCTCATGACAACTGCAATCACGCTTCGGGGATCACCGCGACCTCTGTCAACATCTGGAACACGGATGCGTACATTGTCACCCACTTCGCCATCTTTAAATTTAGTGTTAGCTGAGGATGTAGTTGCATTTATGGCAACCTCCATTTCTTGTTCAATGTTCTCAAGATCTTCCTCAGTAACTATTTTATTGAGAGCCTCTCTTGGTAGAATAGAAGTGCTAAGTCCCACTTTTGCTTTGCATCCAAACAAGGCTTCGTATGGTGATTGTTGGATTCCTTGATGAAAAGAACGATTTTTTAATAAATTGAATGAATTTGAGACTCAGCCCAATGAGCTGATTCATTTGTTTGCATCCATGTCATCATCATGTTTTGAACATCTTGGTTGGCACGTTCGACTGAACCTTGGCTTTGGCTATGTCTTGGTTTTCCGTGAACTAGTTTAAGTTCAGGCCACATGTTCTTTAGTTCAGAAATAACTTGATTCACAAATGACTCCACAATCAAGCAAACGTAGTGTTAAACAGTCAAGTAATCCGCTGTGCAAAGAAATCTGGAATGCAATTCTGTCGGTATTTATCATGCAGTCCAGTCAAGGCACGGTGTTGGGTCTGCTTTCTTTGGTATTCCCCTTTTGTTGGGGAAATATGGTTTCTGACGCCCACGCCATCTCAAGTAGCTTGGACACTATTGTTCAACTTACAAGGAACGCGGCAGTCTTTTGAACGTTCCGTCGGTGACGCCGACTGTCTTTGATTTTGTTCTTTGATGATTTTCTCACCTCGTCATCATGGAGGAGGCTGTCACATACAGTTGTAGCCCATATATGGAAACTAACATGGATTTACATTTTTTCTTTTGACAGCCATCTGCTATATCTGTTTCATGGTCTGACGGCCCTTTTGATCCATGTAACCTTGCATATAGAATGCTATACAAACAAGAGCTAAACAATACGTTACTCACAATGAAACCGCACTCAGAATAATGAAAACGCGATCACAACTAGATATATATATATATACAACAAGTTGAACTTTTATGGCATTTAGAATTACATGCGCGCATTGGCCGGCCAATGTACAAAATATGCTGTCAAGTTTAAGCACTTCGGACTTTGGCCAGTACGTCCCGGCCAGTGCGCGCATTGGCCGGCCAATGTACGAAATACGATCTTAGCTCTAAGTTCTTCGGGCTTTGGCC